CGGCTAGACGCGCCGCTAAGCTACGAAGGCACCGGTGTGTNTGAGCCGGGTACTGCATCATTACAAGGTGAAGGCACCCTCGATGTGTTTCCACCACAGCATGGCTTCCTCGATGTAGTGAAAGCACCAAGGTTTTGGCTGGCACGCGGCACGCTGCGAAGACGTGTGTGTGGTGAAAGGACCAAGGATTTTGGCTGGCACGCGGCACGCTGCGAAGTCGCCCGTCGATGCGATGGAGGCGGCGCGATGGCGCGAGGTTTTGGCGCTCGTGGCGACTCGCAAGTTCAGCGTCCTGCGGCGGGCCCAGGACGCGAGCGCCGCGAGCCGCGCGGACAGCGGCAACCGGCGCCGCGACAAGCGCAAGGTCGAGAAGCGGCTGGGGCTCCTGGAGGGCGGCGAGGCTCGGCGCGAGCTGCGGGAACGGGACGGCCGCCCGCTCGCGTCCGGCTACGAGGGCGTGGTCTACGGCGACCACGGCGCGTACGTCGAGGTGAGCGACGCGCAGCTCGGCTTTCACAGCAGTGATTTCGGCAAGCGCTTCGAGCTGAGGTGCCACGGCGACTACTACGACCTGTACAAGTCGAAGACGACGGCGACGGAGCTCTACCGCCAGACGCGGACCGTGGCCGACCGGCCGAATCCCCCGCGGGGCCGCGACTCGGCGCGCCGCGACCGGCGCGAGGGCTACGCCGACTACAGGGTGGGTCTCTGGTACGTGTCGCCAAAGTGCCTCGTCGTCGACGGCCGGACGATGGCGGCCGCGGCCGCGGGGGCGCCGTCGAAGCCCGTCGGCCGGGGCGACGCGATGCTCAGGGCCGCGGCCGCGGCGGGCCTCTTCCGCCTCCGGTCCGTCGACGGCGTCGTCGCGCGATGCCCCGGCGCGCGCGGGCGCAAGTACCGGTTCCGCCGCCTCGACTCCGCGACGCTCGCGCGCGACGCCCGCGTCGACGTCGACGCCTGCGTCTCGATCCGCGCCTGGCGCCGCGACGACGGCGACGGCGGCGGCGACGCGACGGCGCGGGACGTGCTCCTCGTCACCGTCGAGCCGTCCGCGGCGGCCGCGGCGGCGTCGCCCCTCGTCGCCGCGGCGCGGCGCCTCGGCCTCGGCGCCGGCCACGCGGCCCTCGCGGCGACGCTCCGGCGAGCCTCGACGTCCGACGTCGAGCGGGCCACGAACTGGCCGAGGAACTACGAGGCCCTGCCCCTCGCGCCGGAGGCCCCGGCCTCGGCCATCGTCCTCGTCGACGCGCGCGTCCTCGAACTGGACCAGATCTGCATCCACGTGCCGCGCGGCTTCCTCGCCGTCGTCGAGCCCGGGGCCCTGGTCCGACACGCGCGCGCGATCGTGGTTCGGACCTAGACAGTGCGCGTCCCTCGGGAAGACAGGGAGTCGCATATACACGCGCGCTATTGCTTTTCGCGCACGGCTCTAGACCTGGTAGTCGACGAGCGCCTTGACCGCGAGGACGAGGTCCGCGCCGCGCTTGACGACGGCCTCCTCCATGGAGGACGCGTAGGGCACGGGCGCGTCGTCCATGCAGAGGCGCTTGACGGGCGCGTCGAGCTCGTCGTAGAGCTCCTCGGAGACGCGCGCGGAGATGGACGCGCCGACGCCGCCCGAGAGCGTCGACTCGTCGAGGATGCAGAGCTTGTGCGTCTTCGAGAGCGACGCGGCGATCGTGTCCATGTCGATGGGCTTGAGGGAGCGCAGCTCGATGAGGTCGATGTCGTTGCCGTTGGCGTTGATGTCCGGGATGGCGTTGACGGCCTCGCGGACGCCGTGGAGGTACGTGAGCACCGTGACCGCGTCGCCGTTCGCGACGGCGGCCGGGTCCGCGGCGTAGACGAGCGCGGCCTTGTTCAGGGGCATGCAGGTGCCGACGTCGCAGGGCACCTTGGCGTCCTTCATGAGCTTGACGGGCGTGAAGAGGATGCCCGGGCCGTCGTCGCGGATCATGGCCTTGCAGAGGCCGTAGGCCGCGTCCGGGCTCGCGGCCGTGCAGATCTTGAGGCCGGGGATGCCCATGACGTAGGCGTGGAAGGGCTGGGAGTGCTCGGCGCCCAACGCCTGGTTCGGCGCCGTGCCGCCGGCGCCGACGACGGTCATGGGCATCTTGAACTGGCCGCCCGTCGTCGCGTACGTGTTGCCCGCCGACGAGAGCTCGGCCATGCCGTAGATGCCAAAATTGGCGTTCATGAGCTCGACGATGGGCCGGTAGCCGTTCATGCCCTCGCCGAGGGCCTTGCCGAGGAAGTGGCCCTCGTCGATGATCTCGTCGGCCGCGCGGAGCGCGCCGAAGGTCTGCTGCGTGAGCTTGGGGATGTCGTAGCTCGAGCCCGCCTGGAGGTCCTCCGCGTGGATCGTCGTCATGGGGTCGCGCACCATCTCCTCGAGGATGGCGAGGTTGAGCGCGTCGCCGATGTTGATGCCGTCGCCCTTGGCCGCGTCCTGGAGCATCTTGATGCGCGCCTCGCAGTCCGCCAAATTCCCCGCGGGCACGGACCGCGCCGTGATCGCCGCGCCGTCGACGGGCGCGGGCTTGGCGTTGTAGTCCGTGTCCGGCTTGTCGGGGTACTCGAGCTCCTTGGCGAGCTCGCGCGGCGGCGGCGGCGACGCCTTGGCGAAGGCGACCGCGTCCTTGACGACCTGCGAGGCCTTGGCCTTGCGGTCCGAGAGCACGTCCTCGGGCAGGACGCCTAAAGCCTCGAAGATCTTGAGGGGGTCGGCCTCGGCGCGGGCCCAGGTCTTCTCGGCCTTGCGCCCCCGCTCGTGCTCCGGGTCCGCGGGGCTGTGGCCCTGGAGCCGGTACGTGTGGACCTGGAGGATCGCGGGCGACGACGTAGAACGGACGTGGTCGATGACCGCGCGGCCCGTCTTGAGCACGTCCTCGAGATTCTGGCCGTCGACCTTGGCGCCGGGCACGCCGTAGTGCTCGCCCGCGCGCCAGACCTCGCTGTTCTGGGCCACGTCGGGCGTGAACGTGTTGATGGCCCGGCCGTTGTCGATGCAGAGGATCAGCAGCGGCAGCGACTCCTTCGCGGCGACGTTGAGCACCTCGGCGAGGCGGCCGTTCTGCGAGCCGCCCTCGCCGCAGAAGACGACGGTGAGGCGGTCGTCGTCGCCGCCGTCGGCCTTGGCCTTGGTGAGGCCGAGCTCGCGGTCGAGGAGGATCGACCGCGCGGCGCCCGCCGCGTAGGGCAGCTGCTCCGCGACGAGGGCCCAGCCGCCCTGGAAGTGGGTGTCGACGTCGTAGACGTGCATGGAGCCGCCCGTGCCCCGGCACGTGCCGCCGTCCTTGGCGAAGAGCTCCGCCATGACCTTCTCGGGCGGCACGCCGGACGCGAGCGCGTGCGTGTGCTCGCGGTAGTAGGAGTACTTGATGTCGTCCTTCGTGAGCTGGTCCGCGATGAGGGCCGGGATGGTCTCCTGGCCGTTGTCGAGGTGCATGAAGCCGCGGATGCTGCCCTGCATGTACGACTGCGCGCACGCGTTCTCGAACTGGCGGCACAACTGCATGGTCTCGTAGGCGTCGGCGAGGTCGTCGTCCGACACGGCGTCGTACTGGGCGAGGTGGTCGTCGCTGAAGCCGAAGGCGCTCTTGAGCCGCGCCTTGTTCTCGTCCCAGGCCGTGAAAATCCGCGGCCGCATGGGGCTCCCGTCGTCGGGCACCTCGACGCGCGCCGCCGGGTTCTCGAGCGTCGACGTGCGCAGATTGATGTTGTTGCGCGTCGGCGGCGCCTGCGGCGCGCGCAGCGCGCCGCAGAGCGGGAGGACGAGCGCGAGTTTCATGGTCTCGACGTAGGTCGGTGTGCGCCGTCCCAGAGCGTCGGCTTACGTCGATCTCGTCAACCTACAAGTAGGCTCGCTACGCTGCGCGTTCGCCCGCACGCTGCTTCGCGCCGCAGCGCAGCGACGGCGTCGCCTCGCCCTGGGTCCCAAGTTGCTATCTCCCCCCTCACGCTCTCCCACCTGTTCGTTCTCGGACGCGAGAGTCCTCGTGGGCACCAGATGGCTCCAAGGCCCCCGGGGGCAGCGCGCACGTCTCTCTACTAGCCGCCGCGGCTCATGATCTTGCCGAGCTCGTAGGCGTGGCGGCGCTCCTTGGCCTCGTGCCACTCGCGGTACATGCGGTTCCGCTCCTCCGTCGAGGCGGCCTGCATGAACGCGCGGTTCTGCTCGATGGACACGAGGCCGTCGAGGCGGAGCCAGAATTCCACAGGTCGACGATCGAGCGCATCGGCAAGAACACCCCCGAGGCCGCCAACGACTCGACGGGCTTCGACGCCCACGGCTTCCACGTGGCCGCGAGCGCGTCCCGCAAGGGCCGCGTCAAGATCAAGGCGGGCAAGTCCCGGAAGACGACGACGCGGGACTCGGCCGCGCTCAACGCGGGCTCCGAGTCCGCCATCTCGAGTGGGGACAAGTATTGGATCGGATTCGTACCTGGACCGTGATGTCGCATTCGCCGTAGCACGTGCGACGACTGGCCCGATCTGGTAAACGCGCAAGGGAAGCGGCGTTCAGCTCCGGTGTTTTTGTGAAGCTAACACTGACGGGCCCCTGCGCGACGGTCCGGCCCCGGGACGGGGGGCGGGGACGGCGGGCACGGGGGTTCCGGCACGGTAAATGCGCTCAGGGCACGCGGCCCGGCACGGGCCCGGCACGCGGCCCGGCACTCGGCACGGGCCCCGGGCACGGGCCGGGCACGGGCCGGGGAGGCCCGGCACGGGCCCGGCACGGGGCCCCGGGCACGGCCCGGGCACGGGCCGGGGACGTGGCCGGGGACCGCGGCACGCACCGTCGCGCAGGGGCCCCTACACTGATTGTTGCATCGACGGAGCCGTGCGGCGAGAAGCATTTATCTCGCTCGCCTCACTGCTTGCACCTGAGTCATCCCTGGTCCCCACCGGGGATCCCCCCTTCGAACACGACAAAAAACACAGTGATCACTCGCCTGCTTGCCCCTCGTCGCTCAAAGAGCATGGATGCACCATCGGTGACGCCTTCGCCGACGCCTTCGCCGGCGCTCCCCGAGCCACCAGTGGCGAAGCGCGCGAGGACGGTCGACTCCACCCTCCTTGAGGACTGGCCGACGTCGACGGCAAGCGCGGCGCTCGCGGCCTCCGCGCGGGCCGAGCGCGCGGCGCGCGCGACCGTCGCCGCCGCGGAGATCGCCGGGCCGCCGGCGCCGGACCTTACCTTCGAGACGTGCCGCGACGCGACCGCGGTGCTCGAGCTCTACGCGAGCTTCGCGGGCGACGCGGCCGAGACGTCGCCGGCGCGCCTCGCCGTCGCCCTGCGGGCCCTCGCGAACCGCGTCGACGGCGCGCGGCGCCTCCGGCGCTCCGCCGTGCTCCGGCAGGACCCGGCGTTCCGCGTCCTCCTCGAGGACCTGGAGCGCAAGCTCGAGGCGGCGCCCGGCGGCGACGGCGGCGCCGCCGCCGTCACCATCGTCGCGGGTTTAGCGGACCTGGGCTGCGTCGTCGGCGGGGGATTTCGGACCTTCGAGCGCGTGCTCGAGCTCGCCGCGCGCTCGGCCGCCGCGAACGTGCCGCGGCTCGGATTGGTGCACCTCGCGCGCGCCGCGGGCTCGCTCGTCAAGTGCGGCTTCGACGCGGGCAGCGCCTGCTTCGCGGCGCTCGCGCGGGGCGTCGAGGCGTTGGTGCGGCCGCTGGCCGTGGGCGACACGGTCGTCGACGCGGAGCTGCTGAGCCGCCTCGTCTGGGCCTTCTCGCGCGTGAAAGCCGACGTCGCGTCGCTCATGCTGAGCCTCGCCGTGCTCGCGGCCCGCGTCCAGCACTTGTTGCGGCCGGGGGACCTCGCGGCGCTCGCCATGGCGCTCGCGGCGGCGCGGCCGCCGCGGGGCCGGCTCGACGACCTCTTCCGGCTCATCGCGTTCCGCGTCGCGCCCGAGCTGGGCACCGTGAGCGACCGGGACCTCGCGGGCCTCGCGTGGGCCTTCGGGACGGCGCGCGCGCCGGCCCCGGGCCTCTACGCCGCCGTCGCCGCCGAGGCAATCGCGCGCGTCCAGAGCTTCGAGTTCCACGAGCCGCGGGACGTCGTCGCGATGGCCGAGGGCTTCGCCCGCGGCGCCGCGGCGGCGAAACGATTCGACGGCGCCGGGGCCCTCTTCGAGGCGCTCGCGCTCGCCTACGGCCGGCGCCGGGGCGCCTACAAGCTCTCGGAGGTCGCGGCCCTCGCGGGCGCGATCTTCGACTGCCGGCAGGCGCTCGACGCGGGGCCGTCCGCGAGCCTCGTGGCGCGCTTCGTCGCGACGGAGGCGTCCCCGGCGTTCGCGGCGGACGCGGAGGGGGGCGCCGCGGCCGCCGCGGCCGCGCCGCCGCCCGCTTCGCCCGGCCCCGAGCCCGCGGCGCTCGCGGCGCCCGCGGCGGCGCTCGTCCCCGAGGAGCCCGCAGAACCCGCGCCACCCGCGGCGCCCGTCCCCGAGGAGCCCGCAGAACCCGCGCCGCCGCCCGCCCAGGAGTAGCCCCGTTCCTCGGAATTAACCTACTACTACGTCGTCCGCAGCGGGAGGAGGTCCCCCTCGGCGACGAGCTCCGCGACGACCGCGCGCGCGTGCGCGGACGCGTCGAGGTCCGCGCGGATGTCGGCGAGGTCGATGGCCGGGGTCGACGCGAGGCGCCCAACGAAGTCGCCGAGCGCCGGGTCGAGCCTCCGGCAGGACCCGTTCGCGCAGAGGAGCACGCCGTTCTCCGCGGGCACGCGCGCGAAGCGCGCGCCCGCGGCGTGGGCGAGGGCGTCGGCGTCGTCGAGGGCGACGATGTCGCCGCCGAGGCTCGCCGCGAGCGCGTCGTCCCAGTCCGCGCCGGCCGCGGCGTCGTCCGGCGCGTCCGCGCGCGGCGCCGTGACCAGCCCCCCGAACCAGGCCGCGAAGCCGTCGCCGTCGGCGAGCCGCGCGTCGACGGCGGCGCGCACGGCGTCCTTCGCCGTCGCCAGCGCCGCGGCGGGCACCGTGGCGCCGTCCGCCGGGTCCCAGGCCGGGTCGGCGAGGACGTCGACCTCGTCGGCCGCGGGCGCCAGCGCCTCGTCGGCCCAGCGCCACGCGAGGGGCCGCGGCGCGTAGGTCCGCAGCCCGAAGGAGAAGGTCGAGGAGACGCCGTCCCCCAGGGCGACGCCGTCGTGGGGCAGTCGCGGCGGCACGTAGAGCAGGTCGCCGGCTTCCAGCGTCCACGCCGCGTCCGCGCGAAAGTCCGCGAGCGTCCGGCAGCAGCCGTCGGCGTCCCTCGTCCGCCGCCGCTCCTCGGCCTCGTCGACGAAGCCGAGCTCCACGCTCCAGCGCCGCGACCCCCGCGCCTGGACGAGGAATACGTCCGACGAGTCGACGTGCGGGCCGACGCCGCCGCCGTCGGCCGCGAGCGACGCCATGACGTCGTCGCGGCGCCAGCCCGCGCCCTGCGCGCCCAGGCACCAGTGCGCCGCCGCGGGCCAGAGCGCCGCGACGTCCGGCGAGCACCGGTCCGCGTCGTTGAGGAGCAGCGTCCAGCCGCGGTCCGGCAGCGCCTCGAGCCGCGCGGCGTCGAAGGGGCCGACCTCGACGGCGAACGCCGGCGCCGTCACGAGCCGCGACACGACGTCGTCCTCGAGGGCGAGGCCCGCCAGCAGGTCCACGTCGCAGGCGCGGTCCAGCGCCTCCGCGTCGAGCGCGCCGCGGATGAGCAGCGGCGCCTTGCGCCAGATGTCGGCGGCGAACTGCGCGCGCCGCGCCGCGGCGGCGACGCCGTCCGTCGCGGCGTTCCACTCGTAGCAAATCGGCGCGAGCGCGAGCGCCGCGCGGATGCACGCGAGGCGCAGCACTGCTGCAAAACCCATTCCCATGCGTCGCGCACGTCAAGGAAATGTCGACATCAACTCAGCGCCTGAAGCGCGATGGGCAGCCCCCGCGCCGCCCTCGCGCTGGTGTTCGCCCTCCGCGGCGCGTCGGCGGGCGAGATCGCCGTGAGCGTCGCCGGCGGGCAGGCCGTGCTCGCCTTCGACGGCGACACGGACCTCGCGGCGGCGGCGCACGCCTTCGCCGACGCGCACGGCCTCGAGGGCGGCGAGGGCTGCGAGGGCCGGTCCTGCGTCGTCGACATGCTCGTGACGGCCATGCGCCAGGACCTCGGCGGGTGCGCCGGGAGCGCGGGCGACGGCTGCGTGACGCGGACGTCCGTGTCCGGCGCGGTCTACCGGGCGCAGGGCGCCGAGGAGGTGTCGCGGCAGGAGGCGGCCTACGACGTCGAGGCGACGATCTACGACCGCCTCGCCATGTACGCCGCCGTGCGGCCCCAGCGGCGCGCCGCGGCGCCCTGCGCGCCGCCCTACTGCGACTTCGAGTGCGCCATCGGGAGCGCGGCGTTCGAGGACGAGTTCGCGCGCGCCTTCATCGAGGAGGACGACGAGCTGCGGCGATTGATGGTCGACTACCCGGCGCCGCGGCGCTGCCCCGGCGGGAAATTGTACCCCATCTTCATCGGCATCCCGGCGTCCGAGTTCGTCGACTGCGCGCCGCGGAAGTACCGCGCGTTCCAAGGCGGCGTCAAGGAGCCCGGCGCGGGCCGCTACGCCTTCGAGCCCCACGAGGAGGCCGAGTACAAGCGCGCCTACCGCGAGGCCTACTTTGGCGTCACGAAGAAGAAGGCGGGCTGGGACTGCATGCGCCACTACGAGATCGTCGCGAGCGGCGCGCGAAACGACGCGCGAGCCGGCTTTCCGCACTTCTCCGTCGCATCGTTCGGACGAGTCGTAATCGATCGTCGAAAAAGTCCAAGCTCGGAACCGTCAAATTGCACGCAAATGGAATGATTGCCCACCCGCGCAGGTCGCGAGCGGCGCGTTCCCGTTCTTCACGGACGACCTCGCGACGTGCCCCGAGGGCACGCTCGCCTTCTGGCCCAAGCGACTCCTGACGGCGGCCAAGTCCTGGGCCGGCGTCCACGCGCACAACCTCACGGCGGACACGCGGCTCGTCGATCGCTCCGCGGTCTTCGCGGAAGCGAACGCGGCACTGCTGCACTACGCTCGCCGGAATTTGACGTCAGAGGCGCTGGCGACCTATGTCCTCGAGGCGACGGGCCACGCCGACGCGAAAAGCGTGCTCATCCTGTCGGCGCACCCGGCGCCGGACTTCCAGCGCGAGATGCTCGTCCACGGCTTCCGGAGCAAGCTCGGCAACGGCGCCGTCGACTTCGTCAAGCCGCCGCACCTGTACCGGCCCGGGCCGGGCGTCGAGGCGCCGCCGCGAGACATCTCCGAGACGGCGCGGCTCTACGGCTACGGTTTCACCTACGCGCACCGCCTCTGGGACGACCCGAGCGTGAACCGGTCCTTCGTGCGGCAACGCGTCGAGGAACACGAGTTCGACCTCATCGTGTACGCAAGCGTTCACCGCGGCCTGCCGTACTTCGACGAGGTTCTCGAAAAATACTCGCCGGACGACATCGTCTTTGTGGACGGCGAAGATGAGCATGGCTTCAGCAACTTCTCCGCGGCCCTCCCGGCGCTCGGCCACTACTTCATGCGCGAGCTCCCCGACGGTTGCCCGCCGCCGCCGCCTCGTCAAGACTAAAATTAGCGCGAGAAGTGGCGCCCCGGGCACTGGTTCGGCGTCCGCGGTTCCCAGGTGCGGCAGACGCTCGACGGCTCGCCGAAGGTGCCGTCGTACGTGTGGTTCCCCTGAAGACAGCAGAAGTTGAGCGCGGAGAAGACATCGGCCTTGGACAGCGCGGTGGTGCCCTTGCAGCCCATCCTTTTCGCTTTGCGCTCGAGCATCGCCGTCGACTCCGCGCTGAGGCCGTAGGTCGCGACGAGGTACGCGAGGACGGCCTGGCGGACTGGTGCCTTGGGACATAGCAGAAGCAAGTGGAAGGGCGTCTTGCGGTAGACCTCCTGGTCGAACCCAGCGAAGATGACGAGGTCGATCGAGAGCACGCCGCGGCACCGCGCGTCGCGGGCCGCGGGGTCGCACGCGGCCGCCGGGCCGAGGGCGTGGTCGAGGAAGGCCCTCATCATGCCGTGACCGGACGTGAGGTAGGGCTTCGGATGCTCCAACGGCGGGTTCGCCGCGAGCGCGAGGATGGTGTCGAGGTTCGCGGCGACGGCCTCGACGTGCCAGCGCTCGAGCACGAAGTGGAAGTCGCCGCCGGCGCCGCCGTGCGAGTTGCAGTAGGCCTCGCCCAGCTTGCGGCTCAGGCGCGTCAGCGGCAGGTCGCGGAACAGGAGGAGGTCGGGCCGAGTCAGGACGAAGCGATCGTACCGAACGCCGGTAGCTTGCTCGTGGGCGAGCGCGAGCGCGGCGACCTTGGCGTGGCTTAAACTGTGGCTTAACGCGCCAAAGTGCTGCTCCTCCGGCTCGCGCGTCCAGGCCGGCGCGCTTGGACCCGACGCAAAGACGTTCGCGAGTCGAGCCGGATACGGCTCGTTGTCCTCGAACTCGGTGGCGGCGAAGTCGTAGAGGCTCTCGAAGCGGTCTCTGAGATCCGGGTTCCACGAGTGTATGAGCACGTCCCAGGTCGTGTTCGCGTCCGTGTTCGCCTCGATTACGTGCTTCGTAATGGTCGAAGCGCAGAACTCGATATCGCTGTACTCGCCACCACTCCCTGGTAATTTGTCGACGAAGTTGCCACCTTCTCGCGAGACGGCGCCGCTGAGGAGTAACGCAATCCGTTCAGCGCGTGACGTCGCGAAGAGGGCTGCTATAGCTGCGTTCCAAGCCCTCATCGCGGCAGCATTACGAAAGCATTGCGCCGGCCGATCTTCAAGGTGAATGATGCTGTGCCCTTTCAGTGTCAAGCAATGCGATGGAGGCCGATATGAAGGCCTTAGGCAGTCAATCATCGTGTCCTTGAGGATGCGTTCGCGGCGAGCCGCGCTGCTCGTTGCGGCTGCGGCAGCGTCGGACCTCGTTGCGACTGCGGTAGCGTCGATGGATGCATGCCTCGCCTCCGGCGCCGGCGACTGGGTGGCGTCGTCGTTGGAGCCCGTGAAGCTCTCGCCGAGCTTCCTGAAGAACTGGCAACAGTCTGTTTTCTTTTGGGGCCAATGCGAGGAAGCGCCGCGCGCGCTGCGCTGGGAGCCGCGGGGCGACGGCTGCGACGGCCTCGCCGCCGCCGCGCGGTCGCCGACGCTCGCGCGGGACTTCTGCGACGCGTTTTCCGGCGCGAGCATGATGCTCGTCGGCGACAGCGTCCAGGGCGAGCTCTTCTCGACGCTCGCCGCGCTGCTCGGCGCTGACCGCGGCGTCCAGGACGAGGCCGCGGCGCGGCGGCGGTGCCTGCCCGGCTCTCGCCTCATGGCTCATCACGCCCACGAAGTTCGCGTCGAAACGCTCGCTTGCAAAGGTCGCGTGGGTGTCAAATTCGTCCGTAACGAGTTCTTGCTCTGGGCCGGCGCGCGCGACACGCTCGACGCGGCGGCGATCCGGCGCCAGGACAACAAATACCTCTGCGACTGGGCCGACGACGCGAGCGGCGCGGACCTGCTGGTGCTGAGCCGCGGCCTCCATGAGGCGCCCGACGACGCGTTCGCGGAGCAGCTCGAGGCGACGCTCGACGGCTTAGCCGCGACGCGCGGCGCCCCCAACGCGCCCTGGCTCGTCTACCGCGGGTCCCACGCCGTCGTGCCGAACTGCCACGCCTACGCGGACCCGTCGCCGGACTCGCTCGCGGACCGCATCGTCGCGACGCCCGGCGAGCCCCACTCGGCCGCCTGGGCGAACATATCGCACCAGAATCGCATCGCGAAGGACATCGCCGACGCGCGCGGCGTGCCCTTTTTTGACGTTTTTGAGCAGACGGCGCGGCGGCCGGGCGCGCGGCCCGACTGGCACGCGGGCGAGTGCATGCACTACTGCGTCCCGGGGCCCATCGACGACTGGGCGCGGCTGCTGCTCGCCTACTGGCTCGAGAAGCGGCGGAGTCGATAAGGGCGGGTGAAACTCAGAAGTTGTCGGGTCTCCCAGACTCACGAGTCCCGGTTGATCGCGGGCCTCGGCACGATGCAAAACGCCTTCCTCTCGGCCCTCTCGACGGACCAGCGCGCGGGCGTGGTTGCTCCCCGGGGGCCTACGGTCGTCGACCATAAGGACCCGGCGGTCAAGGCCTTGCTCGAGTCGGCCTTCAAGAAGGAGAGCGGCACGAAGCGCCCCGCAAGCCCACTCGAGACCCAAGAGTCGAAGCGACCCCCTCCCACGCGACCCGATCCGAACGACCCGGTGGTCAAAGCGCTGCTACATCAGTGGCAGACAGATGCGGCGAAGAAGGAGAGGGGAAAGAAGCGGCCCGCGACCGACGACTCGATCCAAGAGATGAAGCGGCCCGCGACCGAGACGCCGGAGGACCCGCCGTCGCGGAGCCTCGCGGACCGCGCGCGCGGCGGCATACTCTCGGCCGTGGAACGCGACTTGAGCCTCGCGAGGGTCGCCGCGCGCGTCGCGCCGCGGATCCGCGCGGATCTCGGCGGCACGGTGCGCGCGGACGACATGAAGCTCATCGTCCACGCCGTCGACGCCGAGTTCCTCGAGGGCTCGCTCGCGGCGGCGCTCCGGTCCCGCTTCTCCGGCTTCGGCCGCGGCGGATTGGACGCGCTCCGCGTCGCCGCGTCGAATCGCATGACGCGATGCGCGTACAAGGTCGAGCCCTTCGTCGCCCAGGGCCTCATGAAGCTCCAGGTGAGCGCCGAGATGCTCTGGAAGCAGAACGAGGCCTACGCGCGCGGCGACGCGGCGGTCTACGGCGTGCCCTGCGGCTGCCGCCGCGACACGCTGACGCTTTTGCTCGTCGCCGCCGTGTCGTCGCTCGCGGCGTGGCTCGCGTCGACGTCCCACGCGACGACCGCCAAGGCCCTCTTCGGCCTCGACGTGACCCAGCTCGTCATCGGCCTCCCCCCGCCGCCCAAAGCGAAAGCCGCGGCCGCGGGCATCTCGGTGAACGCGTACGTGTCCTTTTACGACCGCGGCGGCGCGCGCGTGACGGGCCGGGTCAAGGGCGTCCGCAAGAACGCCATCGTCCTCGTGCCCGACGCCACGAAGCGCGCCGAGGTCTACGAAATGCGCTCCACGGGCCAGAAGCACCACCTCAAGAAGTGGACCGTCGGCCTGTCGCTCCTCTCGCCCGCGACCGACGCCGACAAGGCGGCCCACGCGCGCCTCTGCGAGCAGGCCCGCGCCGCCTGATCGTCGCTTAAGCGCGCCCAATAGACGGGCTGCTGCTCGCCTACTGGCTCGAGAAGCGGCGCAGTCGATAACGTACGGTCGCTTAGGGAGCTCTACACGAGCTCGAGGTCCGCGGCGAGCATGACGTGGTCGCTCGGCTCGTCCGCGGTCGGGTAGGGCTTGGACGTGTCGAGGCCGTGCTTGCTCCGGAGCTCCTTGACGCCGGCGACCTTCCACTGGCCCGCGGAGCAGAAGATGTAGTCGAGCGTCTCGACGAACGCGTCGCGCTCGCCGCCCATGGGCTTGGTGTACGCGAAGTTCGTGAAGTCGGGCTCGGCGCCCGTCGCCGCCGCGTAGGCCGACGTGAGCGGCGGCTCGAGGACCGGCGCGAAGGCCCTGGCCGGCGCGACGTCGGCCTGGGGCGGCGGCGCGTAGGCCGCGAAGGCCTCGCCGAGCGCGCCGGACGTGAGGAGCGCGTAGGACGCGTCGTAGGGCTTCACGTTGAAGTCGCCGCAGAGCACGTAGGGCCGCCCCGCGGCGACGCGCTTCGCGCGCTCGGCGGCGAGGACGCTGTGGATGACCATGACCTGCTCCTTCTCCACGGACCCGAACCTGGGCAGGACAAGAGTGCGAAATTCCCAACTTCAAAGGCTCCTAGCTCGGCCGGTTTCCACTCGTTTCGGCTGATTTTTGGACGAGCGATCATCTCTCGGAACGGTCTCGAAGCGTGGATGCTTTTTCCAGAACGCGCGCGCGCGGAACACTCACGTTGAAGCGACGTTGAATCACCCTTGTCCTGCCCTGACCCGAACAGGCAGGGCATGTGGTACGTGGCGACGCAGAACGCGTCGCCGCCCTTCTCTTTGAGCGTCGCGGTCACGAGGACGTTGTGCTTGCGCTTCGCCTCGTTCCACGTGTCGAAGGGCGGCCGCCCCCGCGGCAGCGGCTCCGTGGCCGCCGTCGCGACGTGGCCCGCGCGCCGCTTGAGCGACCGCCACGCGCGGACGACGAAATTCGGCTTCGCCTCCTTCGCCCGGCGCTCGCGCGGCGGCTCGGCGATGGTGTCGGCGATGCGGCAGGCGTCGACGCCGAGGACGTCGTACTTGCCGCTCGGCCAGGCGACGGCGACGCCCATGTAGCCGTTGAACTTGGTCCCGTAGAGGCCCGTCGAGAACTGGTAGCCCTTGTCCGCAAAGTACGCGTGGAGCTCGCCGCTCCAGTCGCGCGACACCTCCTGGAGGCAGACGACGGCGCCCTTGGCGACCTCGGCGTCGAGGAGCGCGGCGACGCGCTTGAGGCGATTCGGCGGCGACAGGTCCTCGGCCGCGCACTTTACGAAGTAGCCCGGCTCGCAGAGCGAGCTCGACAGCACGTTGTAGGTGACGACGCGCACGCGGCCGCCGGCGCAGGCCGACTCCTGCGCCTCGTAGGCCGCGCCGCCGAGCGCCGCCGCGCCGAGCCAGACGGCGCCGCGCGGCGCCGCGCGCCGGCCGTCGCCGCTCGAATAGGACGACGACCCGCCGAGCGTCGACACGGCGCGCGCGGCGCGGCGCTGCGGCGCCAGGGCCGACGCGAGGCTGCGCATGAGCACCATGTTGACGAGCGTGGTTCGCATGTAGGGCCGCGACGGCCGCGACCTTCAAACACGCGAGCGAGCGCCCCAGACCGCTCTCGAGAAGAGTCAACGTGAAGTCAACGTGGCGGATTGAAGCAACATCAGTGCCCCTTCTTCCTCGCCCTCCTTAGTCGCACTCCTCCGCCTCCGCGGCCTTGGGCCGGGGGATGGCGCGGAGGCACTCGGGCTTGATGGCGACGGGCCGGAGGGGCACCTTGGCGTCGCCGCCGCGGAGCTTGACGGCCTTCGCGACCATGTCCGGCGTCTGGGGCATGACGGCCCAGCGGTCCGGGTGGTTCTCCGCCTTGCCGAGGATGAGGCCCGCGAGGCCGTCGTAGGCCGCCGCCTTCATGCCGTGGAGCTCGACGTACGCGCCGATCGCGAGGCCGCTCGCGTCGACGGCCAACGGCCCGAGGAACGTGGCCTTGGGGCCCTCGTCGAAGAGGGCCTTGTAGTCCTTGGACAGCAGCGCCTCCTGCGCGACGAAGTAGGCGAGCGCGCGCTCGAGCGCCGCGAGCGACGGCGCCTGGAGGCCGACGACGCTGTCCTCGAGCGGCACGACCGCGGCCTCCTCGTTGAGGAAGCCGTCGCGCTGGCGCTTGTAGAAGTCGAGGACCTTGGCCTGGCCCGCCTCCTGGCCCTCGGCCTTGCGGTGCGCGACGTAGCGCGCGGCCAGCAGCGGGTCGCCCGCCTTCGCCGCGCCCAACGGCGCGCCGCAGGCCTTGGCCGGGTCGGAGACGTCGAGCAGGATCGACAGGTCGAAGGGCGCCGCCGCGGGCCAGTGCAGGATGAAGCGCCGCCGCTCCTTGGACATGGCGTGCACGCCCGCGATCTTCGTGAGGATCTGCAGCCAACAGGCCTCGGGTGTGGCCTCGACCTGGTTGGGACCGGGCAAAAAGCACTCGGGCATGCTCGCCTGGAGCAGCGACACCAAATCCTGCGCGCCCTCGTAGTTGGCCAGCGTCCGCAGGTCCAGCGTCGCGCCCTCCGCGAGCGCGGCCATGGTTGCAGGGCGTCGTTCGCGACGGCGCGGAGATCTCCGAGGTCAAGGAGCAGCTCTGCTCCCGGTCGCCTCCCGGGGGGCTCCTCGTCTCGGGACGGCGTCGCGACGCGTGGCGCGTCGCTGGACGCCATCAAGGAGACCCCAAGAAAAGTCCAAAGGCACCCCACCTTACCGTCGCGGCCCGCCCGCGCGCGCCGGCGGCTGGCGGCGCCCGCCGCCCGGCGCGGACCGGGGCCGGTTGCTCCGCTTGGGGACGGCCTCGGGCACGTCGAGCGCGAGCGCGCGGGGCGTGCCCGACGCGCGCACGGCCCGCTGGAGCCGCGCGGCGACGACGGACGTCGGCGGCGGCCCCGGCCCCCGCGCGGCGGCCCAGGACGACGCCGCGCTCGTCGACGGCGACGGCGGCGGCGGCCGCCTCTCCGCCGTCGTCACCTGCGTCGCCGCGTCGCGGCGCCGCGGGCCCGCGGCGAGCGCGGCCCGGAGCCGCGCGACCTCGGCGAGGAGGTCGAAGCGCGACGGCGCGGCCGGGTCCGGCGGCGTCTGCGTCGGCGTCTCGCGGGACCGGAGCCCGGGCCGTTTGACGGGCACGCGGCCGAGCGCGCGCGGGCCCGCGGCCGCGGTCTTGGGGTCGCCGCGCGGCGGCGGCTTCTCGTCGTCGCTCGGCTCGTCGTGCTGCGGCGTCCAGACGCCCAACGGCGCGCCGACCCAGTGGGCCTTGGCGACGGCCGGCGTCTGCGTGTTCACCGTCCGGCGCTTCGTCGGGTCCCGCGTCTGGCACCGCGCGTTCCGCACGCGCGGCCGCTCGGTCTGCGTCGGGATCGCGACCGCCGCGAGGCGCTTCGCGCGCCGGTCCTCGGCGAGCTCCTTCTTGGCCGCGACGGCCGCGAGCCAGGCCTTTTCCATCTTCGCGCCGTCGTCCTCCCACCTGCGTGGACATCAAATATGCAACTCGACTTCAACGTGAGCGTATTCGAATGTTTTGACACTTCGGCTGTGCTTCGAGAACTCGCTGAGAGCGATCGACTCATCCAAAAATCAGCCGAATCGACTTCGATTTGACCGAGCTAGAGCATTTCAAAGTTTGGTCGGGACGTCCCGAACCAGCGGTTGAGTTCCACGCAGCCTCCCACGCGGCCTCGGCGTTCGCGACGTCGCGGAGCGCCTCGGCGAAGCGGTCGCCGGGCGGCGCCGGCGTCACGGGCGAGAAGGCCTGGCGCGCGTGCCAGATCGCCGACGTGATGTCCGGCGCCTGGGCAGCAAAAGGGTGATTCAACGTCGCTTCAACGTGAGTGTTCCGCGCGCGCGCGTTCCGGGAAAAGCATTCACGCTTCGAGACCGTTCCGAGAGATGATCGCTCGTCCAAAAATCAGCCGAAACGAGTGGAAAACGGCCGAGATATGAGCCTTTGAAGTTGGGAATTTCGCTCTCTTTTGCTGCCCTGTCCGGCGCCTCGGAGAGCGTCGGCGACGCGGCGCGCGACGGCGCCGCGGGCGCGGGCGCCTCCGCCGCCGCGCCGCCGGCGAGGGAGGCGCCGTCGTCGGCGAGGTCCGGCGCGAGGGACGCGTCGTCGTCGGCGAGGTCCGGCGCGAGCGAGACGTCGTCGCCGCCGTCGGGCGCGGGCGCGGGCGGCGCGCGCGCGTAGACCGCGCCCGCGTGCGTGACGCGCACGACCCAGCCGCCGTCGCCGAGGGGCGCGGGCCGGCCCTCGTCGTCGAAGCCCGGGCAGAGCAGCTCCGGCGCCGGCGCGGGCGCCGCGGGCGCGGCCCCGGGCGCGGGCGCCTCGTCCTCGGGCGCGGCCCCGGACGGCGCGGGCGCGGGCGCCTCGGCCGCCGCTTCGGCCTCGGCGGCCTCCGCCTCGGCCTCGGCGGCCTCGGCCTCGGCGGCGGCCTCGGCCTCGGCGGCGGCCGCCGCCGCGGCTCGCTCCGCGCGGTCCGCGAGACGAAGCGCCGCGCTCGCCGTCGCGTCCGCGGCGGCCTTCCCGAGCCCCGCGGCCTCGAGGTCCGCCGCGAGCTTCTCGGCCTTGGCCTTCATGCGGTCGATCTGCCGCGCGCAGTCGTTGACGACGCTCCGCTGCTGGGCGATCTTCGTCTTCGCCGCGGCGATTTCTTTCGCGGCGGCGGCCGCGGCGGCCTCCGCGGCGGCTTCGCGCTCCTCCAGCGCCTCGGCGGCGCGCGCCGCGGCCTCGCGGGCCTCGGCGGCGTCGCGCTTCGCCGCCGCGAGCTCGCGCGCGGCCTTGCCGCCCGTCGCGCGGACGAGCGCCGCGCGGACCGCCGCGCAGGCCGCGTTCGCGGCGTCGCGCCCGAGGACCGTCGCCGCCGCCGCAGCCCGCGCGTCGTCGATCTCCTTGCGCGTCTCGTCGTCCAGGTCCGCCTCGCGCGCGAGCGCGCGGCGCCGCGCGTCGTCGACGAGCGCGGCGCACGCGGCGCGCGACGCCGCGAAGCCCGACACCGCGCGGTCGAGGTCGCTGGCGCCCTTCGCGGACGCCTGGGCGACGGCCGTCGCCAGGGCGTCGCCCGCGGCCCTCTTCGTCTCGTCCGCGCGGCGCGCGGCGTCCTCCGCGGCGGCGACGCGGCGCCGGACGCGCGCGACGCAGCGCTCCGCGAAGGCCGCGTCGCGGCCGAGCGCGTCCCGCGCCCAGCGGAGGTGGCCCCGCTCCTTGACGGCGCGGAAGAGGAGGCCGTCGGCGTCGCGCACGAGGCCGTAGTCGTTGGCGACCCTCGCCACGGAGCAGCGGCTCGCGACCTCGCGCGCGCGCGTGCGGAAGATGCGCCGGAGCCGGTCCCGCGGCGCCTCCCGGAACTCGGGCTCGCGGTCGGCGAAGCCGTCGTCGCCGCCGAGGTCCCGCAGGTCGTCGACGAGGGCCTTGTGGGCCTTCCGGGACGCCTCGGCGTACTTGGCCGCGTCCGCGGCGACGCGGCGCTGCACGCCGACGAGCCACCAGAGGCCCTCGACCTTGTGCGCGTAGGACGACGCGAGCCTGTCGGCGACGGCGCGCTCCTCCTCGCGCGCGGCCTTGACGCCCTGCTTGTGCACGACGCGCACCTGCGCGAGCTCGTCGCGGCTCCGGTCCGCGAGGTGGCACGCGCGCTTCGCCTCCTGTTTGCAGTCCTTGAGCTCGCGCTCGCGCGCCGCGAGCGTCCGCTTCGTCTTGGCGAGCGCGCGGTCCGTCGCCTCGAGCTCCGCGGCGGCCGCGGCGCGCGCCGCGTCGGCGTCCGCTCTCGCCGAGACGAGGCCGTCGATGTCGCCCCGCGACAGGTCGGTGCCCGTGCCGCGCGCCGCGAGCTCCGGGAGGTCGAGGTCCCGCTGCGTCGCCGCGTCGGCGACGTCGGGCTTCTCCACCTCGCGGACGATTTCGACGACGCGGACTTCGGCCTCCCAGCGCGTGCCGCCGTTCGCCGCCGCGGCCGCGCGCGCGGGCGTGGCGGCCGCCGCGGCCCAGGAGCCCGCGGCCGCCGCGGCGCCCGCGGCGGCCGCGGCGCCGCCCGCGACGGCGGACGCCGCGGCGCGCGCGGCCGCGTTGCCCGCGCGCCACCGCGACGCGGCGTCGGCCTCGGCGCGCTCGAGGGCCTGGAGCCGCACGGCGGCGTCGAGGCCCCGGGCGTCGGCCTGCTTCAGCGACTGCTCGCAGGCCGCGAGCTCGAGCTGTAGGTCGCCGTTCCGCGCCGCGAGGCCGTCGGCGCGCGCGCGCTCCGCCGCGAGGTCGCCCTTGAGGTCGTCGTGGGCGTCGGCGAGCGCGCGGTAGCGCTCCTGGGCCTTGAAGGCGTCGCGCCGGAGCGTGCGGACCTCCTCGTTGCGCTTCGCCGCGTGGGCCTCGAGCGGCGCGCGCGCGTCCTCGGCGGTCTCGCACCGCTTCCAGAGCGCGCGCGCCTCGTCGCGGAGCGCGTCCAACCGATAGAGCGCCGTCGACAGGGCGTCCTCCGTGTGCCTGTGGCGCTCCTCGGAAATCAGGGCGTCCTCGACGTGCTTCGACCGGCGCCAGGACGCCGTGAGCACGCCGCGGCACGCGGCGCAGGGCCGCGCGACGAGCTCGCAGTCGCGCGAGACCTCGAGGTACGTCGCCGCGCCGCCCGTGCGCGCGTGGCGCTCGCAGGCCGCGCGCGCGCAGGCCAAAAAGGCCTCGCGACGCGCCGCGCCCGCGACGTCGCCGAGCAAGGGCCGCGGGTCGAACGACGGGAGCCGCTCGCACCTTTCCGCGAGCTCGGCCCTGAGCCGCGGCTCGTGGACGCGGTGCGACACGAGGAGCAGCGTCGCCTTCGCCGCGGCGACGTCGAGCTCGTAGCAGCGCGCCTGGCGCTCGAGGGCCGCGGTCCGCGTCTCCAGCTCCGCGCGGAGCCGCGCGACGTCGCAGAGCTGCCAGAGGCCGGGGGGCAGCCCCGCGGCGGCGGCGCGCCAGTGGCGCAGCGCCCGGCGCATGAAGATGCCCCGGACGCCGAGGTCCGCCTCCGTGAGCAGCGCCACGGTCCAGCCCCCGAACAAGGTCCGCACCGCGCCGCGACCGCTCGGCGGCTCGCGGACGAGGCGCTGCACCATGACCGCGAGCCGCTGCGCCCGCGCCGGGTACTCGGCGACCCAGCGCGACTGGAACTGGGTCGCGCGCCGCCGGCCCAGGCGCGACGCCATCGCTTTTGACGTTGGCTAGAGCTGCTGGGCCACCAAGGTGACCTTCGTCGACCCCAACTTTACGCGCAAGCCGCCCAAGTACGAGCGCTTCATCCGGCCGAGCGGCCTCCGCATGATTAATCGTTGGGCTGCCGAAGTCTACCGAGGTGCTCGTTGCAGTCAACCACTCGGTTGTTGACTCAGAGCACGAATTTGTGGCTCGGGTGCTCTCGATTCCGAGCCGTGCCATCTGACGGTCGCTGCGCGCAATGGTACAGCAGATGCAACGAAAAAAGTCCTCGAAGCAATCAAAACGTAGGCGACGATGACCTTCGGCGCGGAGGACGTGCCGGCGAGCGAGCTGCACGGCGTCATGTCGCCGGAGGCCGAGGACTCGCAGAGCTGGCACGACGACGCGGCGACGTGGAGCGCGGAGAACGCCAAGTCGCGCGCGCGCCGCCGGCGCCCGCGCGCCGCGCCGCCGCAAAAAAAACGCGCGCCGCGCCGCAGGGCCGGAGCCGCCGCGAGCTGCCCGCGCACGCGGTGTCGATCTTGAAGGCGTGGCTCGTGTCCGACGAGCACTTCCACCACCCGTACCCGACGCAGCAGGACCAGGCGCACCTCATGGTGCGTGTGTTTTGTTTTCGTCGGCGCGCGAAACGTGCACACCCATCGTAGGCGCAGACGGGCATCGACAAGAAGCAGCTCAAGAACTGGTTCACGAACGCGCGGCGGCGGATCTGGAAGCCCTTGGTGCGGACGCGGCTCGAGGCCGAGGGCGCCATCGCGCCCGGCGGCGACCTCGACGAGGCGCTGGCCGCCGACGCGCGGCGCCACGCGGGCGACCGCGACGACGGGCCGCCCGCGTTCGTCCCCGACCGGCTCCGCGACGACGGCGCGGCGGCGGCGGCGCCCGCGGAGCACGCGCGGAGCACGCGGCGCCAGACGCGCCTCGCGAGCGGCGCGCCGCCGGAGGCGCCGGCGCAGGACGACGAGTTCCTGCGCAACGTCGACTCCGAGTCCTTCCTCGACGCGCTCGCGGAGCCCGCGACGCCGCCGGGCGCGGCACCGGCCGCCGGCGACGACGCGCTCGCGGGCGCGGCCTTCTTCGACGACGCGGCCTTCGACCGGGACCCCCGCGGCGCGCCGCCGCCGCGGGGGTCGCGGAAGCGGCCCCTGCCGGGCGACGACGCCGCGCCGGACGGCTACGACGACGCGCCGCCGCCGACGGTGCGCGTGTCGCGCGACGCGTCGTGCGCGTTCTGCGCGCGGGGCAACGTCGACACGCAGCTCATGCCGTGCAAGCACCTCTTCCACGGCCAGTGCCTCCGGCCCTGGCTCGAGGCGACGGTGACGACGCCCGTGTGCCCCTGCTGCTCCGTCGCCATCGCCAACTGCGTCCGCGCCGCGCCGGCCTAGGGGTTCACACCACCAGGTCTAGTAAGCCCGCGTCCTACTAGTCCGCGCGCGGCGTGGGCTCGTTGCTGTCGCCGCTCCGGCGCATGCCCATGCGGAAGAGGCTCGACTTGCGCCGGAAGCCGTCGGTCGCGACGGACCGCGACGCGAGGTCCGGCGACAGCTCGCCGGACCTCGGCGTCGCGGAGATGGACGTGCCCGACTTGCGCGGCCCGCGGACCGCGTCGAGCGCCTGGCCGACGAGGGACCGCGGCGCGTCGCGGCCGCTTGGCGACGAGCCGCCGGTCCGCAGGCTCAGCGCCGCGCGGTCCTCGACGGAGTCCGCCGACGACTTGCGCCGCATGAAGCTCCGCTTCGGCTCGAGGGGCTCGAGCGGCGCGGAGCTCCGCGACTCCGCGTCCTGCACGGACCGCCGCAGGGGCGCCTCGGGCGACGCGAGCGCGGACGCGAGCTTCGCCGCGTGGCCCGGCTGGACGCAGACGGAATTCCGCAACGGCGCGCGGCCGTTCGCCGCGGGCGCGATGCCGGGCAGCGCGCGCTCCGGCGACGCGTCGCCCCGCTGCCGCGCGGCGTCGCCCGCGAGCTCCTGGGACTGGTGGAGCCAGCGCCAGAAGTTCTCGCGCATGAAGCGCGCCGGCGCCATGTCCGGGTCCAGCAAATCGAAGACGACCTTGTAGAAGGGCAGGCAGACGAACTTGAAGAAGCCGATCTGCGACCGCGCGACGTCGACGTCCTTCGCGCGGTCGCAGAGCGGCGACACGGCGACGCCGAGGCTCTTCTCCTTGTCGCCGAGGCGCCAGAACTCCTCCGTCGCGCGCTCCGTCCAGGCCTTGTGCACGGCGAAGGGCTTGAGCACGTGGCCGATGTCCGCGAACTTGATCGCGACGGTGAGCACGAGCCGCGCGTCGACGCCGTCGCCCTTGAGCGGGCTCACCCAGGGCTCGTCGGCGCCCTGCATGGCCTTGTGGCCCCGGGGGCCCAGCGGCTTGAGCTTGCGCGCGATGAAGTCGCTGTGCCGCTTCAGGTCCGTCATGAGGATGAGCTCGATGATGAGCGCGCGCGCCGCGGGCTTGGCGTCCTTGCCGAGCCCGCCTAAAACGTCGAAGCGCGGCTCGGCCAGGACCATGAAGGCCGCGGCGAGGTGGTGGCGCTCGAGGACCGTGTCGTCGCTGTAGCGGAGCGCGAGGGGCGACGCGACCTTGACCTCGTGCGCGTTCGACGACCCCGGGTGGCTGTAGTCGTGGACCGCGGCGCCGACGTAGGCCGCCAGCAGCTCGTCCGGCGAGCACCGCTTCGCGAGGTCCTGCTTCGTGAGCAGGAGGTGCGTCGTGAGGAGCGCGTCCGCGCCGTGCGCGCGCGAGTGGTACGGGTTGTCGCCGTAGTCCGACGAGATGCGCAGGAGGAACAGGTTCAGCGTCGGCTTGTCGACGGCGTCGAAGGACCCGATCAACGCCTCGCCGAGGAGGAGCATGGCCTGGCCGTTCGACGCCTTCTCGAGCTGGAGCACGTCGTTGTCCTCCCAGCTCGCGAGCATCTTCGCGCACTTGCGCCGCGCGCTGTCGCCGACGGCGACGCGCCGCGGCGGCTGCCACTCGTCGCCCCGCGCGCCCGCGTCGCTCGCGCGCAGCGCGTGGAGCCGCCTCGCGCCGCGGGCCTCGAGGTACTTGACGACCGCGCCGTGCTCGTGGCGGAGCGCGTCGTCGAGGGGCCCGTTGCCCCAGCGGTCCGCGGCGTTGAGCTCCGCCTGGCAGTCGTCGACGAGGAACCGCGCCGCGTCGAGGCAGCCGTTCGACGCCGCGAGGTGCAGGGGCGTGCGCTTGTCGTAGTCGCCCACGGACGGCTTGAGGCCTGGGCAGGACAAGAGAGATTCAACGTCGCTTCAACGTAAGTCTTCCGCGCGCGCGCGTTCCGGGAATAGCATCCACGCTTCGAGACCGTTCCGAGAGATGATCGCCCGTCCAAAAATCAGCCGAAACGAGTGAAAAACGGCCGAGATCGGAGCCTTTGAAGTTGGGAATTTCGCTCTCTTTTCCTGCCCTGCTTGAGGCCCCGCGCGACGAGGTCGCGGAGCGCGTCGACGTCGTTCTCCGCCGCGGCCTCGATGACCTGCTTGGTCGCCGACGCCGACGCGGGCGTCGCCACCGTGTCCGGGAGCTTGGCGCCCCGCTCGAGCAAGGCGTCGACGCAGGACTGCCGCTTCTGGCGGAGCGCGACGCTCAGCGGCGTGTTGCCGTAGCGGTCGAGGCAGTCCGTCGACGCGCCCGCGACGTCGACGAGGTAGAGCACGCAGTCGTAGTGGCCCTCGGCCGCCGCGTAGTGGAGGGCCGTGCGGCTGTCGTAGTCCGCGGCGTCGACGTCAAGCAGCGCGAGCGCGTCCTTGCAGAGGTCCACGTCGCCGAGCGCGGCCGCGTCCCAGAGGGACACCGTGCGCTGGAGCTCGTTGAAGGACTTGCGCGGCTCGCTGTTGGACCGGGGCAGGCGCGGCCGCTCGCGCGTGTCGCCGTCCTCGGCGCCGAGGTCCGCGCCGAAGTCCTCGAGCGACCGCTCGGACGCGCCGGAGACGCGCTTCGGCGACCGCGGGCTCGGCAGCTCGAGGTCGTCGCGCGACGGCCGCCGGCGCCGCGACAGGCTCGCCCCCTCGCCGCTCAGGCGCTCGAAGGAGTCGCGGCGGCCAAAGGAGTCGCGCGCGTCGCGGCCGAAGCTATCGCGGAAATCGCGGCTCATCGTGTTGCGCGACGACCGGTCGCTCGCGTCGCCCATGCTCGGCCGCCGGCGCCGGCCGCCGGACCCGGCGCCCAACGGCGTCGCGCCGCCGCCGGGCAGGTCCGCGCCGCGCCGCGCGCCGCGCGACTGCAGGAACCGCGCGACGGCCGCGCGCTCCGCGCGCTCCGCGTCGTCGAGCGGCGTGGACCCGAAGCGGTCCACGGGGTCGAGCTCCGCCTTCGCCTCGGCGACGAGGAAGGCGACGGCCTCCAGGGACCCCTCGGACGCCGCGACGTGCAGCGCCGTCCGCGCGTCGTAGTCGGCGGAATTCACGTTCATCGACGGCCGCGCGCTGAGCTCCCGGAGCCGCGGCACGTCGTTGCTCGCCGCCGCGTCGCCGAGGATGACGGCGCGGGAGCTCGCCGTCTCCATGATCGACGGCGGCGCGAGCATGCCCGCCTCCGCGCGGAGGTCCATGCCTGGGCAGGACAAGAGTGCGAAATTCCCAACTTCAAAGGCTCCTCGTTTTCCGCTCGTTTCGGCTGATTTTTGGACGAGCGATCATCTCTCGGAGCGCTCTCGAAGCGTTGGTGCTGTTTCCGGAACGCGCGCGCGCGGAACACTCATGTTGAAGCGAACTTGAATCACCCGTGTCCTGCCCTGGTCCGTGCCCGCGAGCCGCGTCTCCCAGCCCTCGACCTCGTCGACGCGGCTCGGCGACAGCGCGTCGACGCGGTGGATGACCTCCAGAAGCTTCGCGTCGAGCTCCTTCTTGCTCATCTTGTCGCTCTGCGCCCGGATCTGCCGCACGAGCTGGCCCACGCTGTCCTCGCCCGCGTCGCGGGACGAGTCGCCGCCGCCGAAGAACGCGCGCAGGCCCACGCGGCTCGGCCGCTTCCCGCGCTCGCCGGGGAACGCCGCCGGGCTCGGGCCCTCGGGCGACTCCTGCGCCGGCACGACGGCCGTCTCGCCCTTCCCGCCCGTCGACAGGCGCCGGGCGATGCCCTTGATGAAGGGCAGCGCCATGGTCTTCCGAGGAGCGGGCGGCGGGTGCGGGGACGCGCGGCGCGCCCGCCTCGGCGCAACGGGGGCGCGCCGCACCCGGCGACGACCCCTCCTCCGGCTGCTGCGACGCTCTACGCTCCCATGCGCCTTGGCAACGCGGGGTTTGTGATGGTGCGTTGCCAGTCGGCCACCACCGTTTCATCTTTGGCCTGTATACCATCATTATCAGGCGTTTCAAGTTCGGCTAGCATTCCACCTCGCTCACGTGCCTCTCGCGGCGATAGTAAGGCCCCGGGAGCCGAGCATTAGATAGGAATTCAAGTTCGGCTAGCATTCCACCTCGCTCACGTGCCTCGCGGCGATAGTAAGCCCCCGGGAGCCGATTTTGGGGATGACGGCTTAGTCTACGCCCCCCCGCGGGAATGCGGGGCCCCTAGGCCGCGAGCTCTGCTTTGGTCTCGTCGGCCGCCTCGGCCGTGGCGCCGTCGGCCGCGGCGGCCGCGGCGGGCGCGGCCCCCTTCTCGGCCGCGGCCTCCGCGTCCTCGCGGTCGTACCAGGCGACGTCGCCGCCGCCGGGGCCGAGGTCCTCCTTGATGAGCGTGCCCTTGGTGCCGGCCATGAGCTCCGCGGCGTCGTTGAGGTCGCCGATGATCGCCCACGCGCCGGGGACCGCCGACCGCGTGACGAAGTCGATGCACGCGTTGACCTTGGGCCCCATGGAGCCCGGGAAGGCCTGGCCCGACTTGCGCGCGACGAGGAACTGGGGCGTCACCATGCGCATCTCGCGGCCGTCGGGCTTGCCGAAGCGCTCCCAGATGCCGCCGCCGTCCGTGAGGATGATGAGGCCGTTCGCTTTGAGGCTTCGCGCCATCAGCGCGGCCGTCGCGTCCTTGTCGACGACGCCCTCGACGCCGACGATGTCGCCGAAGACGCGCGACACGGGCGCGCCGCCGCCGCCGGCCGCGATGGCGAACTGGCCCGCGTCCAGCAGCGCCTTCACCGCGTCGAGCTGGAGGATCGCGCGCGGCGTCGGCGACGCGACGACGCGCCGGTAGTACTCGCCGTCCTGCTTCACGGTCCACTCGAGGGACTTGGCGAGGGCCTCGGCCTCCTTGAAGCCGTAGACGGGGCCGACGAACTTCATGGGCTCGCTGAACGCGGGGTCCGCGGCGTCGACGAGCGTCTGCGTGACGATGGCCGCGGCGTTGACGCCCGCGGACTGGAACGCCTGGGAGAGCACGTAGCCGATCTGGCCCTGCGACTCGGCGCCGAGCACGTCGAAGGACGCGTTCGACCGCTCGAGGGCAAGCTCTCCCACTTGCGGGCCTGCGATGGGTAAGGCGTGTTTCGGGAGTGCGCGTGGGCGTGTCGCGCACCGTTGCCGTGCGTCAGCACGACCTCATTGCCCGCGGACCGGATGGCTGAGATGGCGGGCACCATCTGCTTCGCCGCCTTGAGCATGTTCTCGATGGTCAGGCGGTCGCCGCGGCGTTGGAGCGCGTTGCCGCCGACGGCGGCGACGATGCGCTGGCCCGTGAGCATGCCCGACGACGACGCGGCGCGGCGGGTGTGGCTGCGCGGGCTACGCAGGAGCACGCGACGCATCATCTCGATTGGCGCAGGCGCACTGGGTCGTGGTACACTGGGTCGTGCCACACCGGCACCACAAAGGGTGCTTTGAAACACCACGAGTGCTCGTCGTCGCTCGCGGCCGCGCTCGCCGGGGGTCGTGGCCTTACTATCGCCGCGGCGCGGGCGCGGCGTCGCCGTCGTCCCACCAGCGCCGCTCGAAGGCGGCGCAGCGGTCCTCGATGAGCTTGGCGCGGTCCTCGAGCGCGTGGCGCGGGGGGATGCGCTCCGGCGCGAGGTTCGGCCGCCGGCGGCCCGCGTCGTCGCGCCGGAGAGTCTCGCACTCGTTGACGAGCGCGGCGAGGCGCGCGTTCGCCGCGAGGATGTCCTCGTCGTGGGGCACGCGCATCTTCGGCGCCTCGCAGGGCCCGCGGCTCAGGGGCCAGGGCATCGCGTCGTCGTGCGGCACGGCGATGAGGCCCTGGCCGTGCGCGCGCGCGTAGATGGCCTGCGGCACGGGCGACCCGGCCCAGGGCGGGTCGCGCGGCTCGAGGGGGGCGTCGCTCGCCGGCGGGTCCTGCTCGTAGCGCGCGTGGACGTTGGCGTGCACCTTGACCTTCGTCGTCGCCGTGGGCAGGCGCCGGGCGACGGCGAGCGTGTCGGCGAGCAGGTACTGCTTGGACCGCTGCATGGGGCGCCTCGTCGTCGGCATGTAGTTGTTGGGCTTGTCCTTGATGACGCGCCGGTTGATGCGGATGCCGCCCGTGCACCACTCCGAGCCGGCCATCGTAGCGCGGTGTGGGCGTCGTCTTTGTTAGCGCGGAGTGGCTGCGGAGCTGCGTCGGTTTCTGCTTGGTTCAATAGAGCCGCACTTCTGACCTTGACGCCAAAAGGGATCTGCGATGCGACTATATTTAGGCATCATCGCGGTCGCCGCGGCCGCGGCGGCGCCGCAGGACGCAGGCGACGAAGCGATCGCGTGGCGCGGCGCGAGCGCGTCCGAGGCGGCGGCGGCCAAGGCCTGGGCGTCGTCGCTGCGCTTCCCGCTGGCCCCGCTGCTCCAGGTGGCGCTCGTCGCCGGCGGCGCGGCGCAGCCGCCGTCGGCGCTCCTGCGCGCCGACGCGGGCTGCGCGACGCGGGCCATGCGGTCCGGCGCCGCGCACGTGCGGCGCAACGGCACGGTCGTCGTCGCGCCCGTCGACGCCGCCGCGGTCGATTCGCTCGTGGACCGGTGGAACGCCGAGGTCGACGGCGCCGACAGGAGCCACCTCATGCCCTGGTACGACGTCCACGTGAAGCCCGTGCTCGACGCGGCGGCGCCGGCCGTGGGCGTCAACGGCCTCCTGCGCGCGCTGCCGCGCATGCGCGGGTGCCTCGCGGCGGGCTCCGGAGGCGACGCGCAGGGCATGATGATGCACTACCTGGGCACGTACCTCGTGGACGGCCTCGGCGCGTCGGCGGCCGAGGCGCTGGCCCTCGTGGCGCAGCTCGGCGACCTGCGGCTCTTCAAGGAGGGGCGGGGCCTGACGCACGGCGTCGTCTGGGCCGATTTGGGGCGGTGGGCCGAGGACCGGGGGCTGCGGGTCCCCGTCTCCCTGAGCGACGACGACGCCCGCGCGGCCTGGGCGCGGGCGTCCGCGGCCTGCAAGCCGCCCCAGTTCCGCTGCCGCTTCTTCTACGTGTCCTGCGTCCACGGCATTGGGCACGCGTTCCAGCGCCTGAGCCACGACGCGCGCGCGCGCGGCTACCGGCGCCTCGACGCCGCGGAGGTCGGCCGCGCGGCCGGCGCGGCCGTCGGCGCCGCGGAGCAGGCGCGGCGCTACCCGGGCGTCGAGGCCTGCGGCTTCGCGCCGACGCGCGACGAGGCCTACCACTGCGCGACGGGCTTCTACCACGACGAGTCGAACCTCGTCGAGACGACGGCGCACCTGGCGTTGCTGGAGGAATTGCGGCGCGCGCCGGCGGGCGACGTCGTCCGCCAGAAGCACGCGTGGACGCACGAGCGGTGCGTCGGCGCGCCCTTCGAGGCGTCGTGCTTCGTGCGCCTCTACGAGGGCGTCTTCGCGCCGCTGCCGTCGATGGAGAAGCCGACGTGCGACGGCCTCGGCCTCGGCCCGCGCGACTTTCGCGCGTGCGTCTTCGCGCGCTACCTCTACGAGCCCATGGACCCGGCCTTCTTCGCGCGCGCCGTCGCGGCGCCGGGGGCCGCCCACGTCTTCTGCGCGGACCGCGTCCCGGGCGGCCGGCGGACGAACGAGACGTGCGTCGTCCACCCCATCGCGCGCGCGTGCGCCGCGTACGCGGCGGACGACGCGCGGCTCGCCTGCGTCTGGGGCGCGGCGCTGGGCACGTCGCGGGCCCTGCGCCTCGCCTTCGTGCACCCGCGGCTGGCGCGGCTCTACTGCGCCGTCTTCCCTGACGCGCGCTTCTCGCGCGCGTGCGAGCGCGGGCTCCTCGGCTGGACGGGCCTCGTCGACGACCCGGACCACCCGAGCGTCTACGGCGCCGAGCTCCACGACCTGCCGGGGTAACTGCGCTCCGTGCCTGACTCGTCGTTGGGCCGGGTATCGGAGGGGACGCGCGCTCGACGAGGCTTCGACGGCGTCCGCCCGGTCGTACGGGCCCCCGGGGCCGGTCGTCGGGCCCGTCGAAGGGCACCACATGTCGATCGGCTGGCCAATGGGTAGCTGAGGGTGCACCCTCAGCTACCCATTGGCCAGGGCATCACTGAGCCGATCGAGGTGTGGCACCTTGCCTTCTTGCCTTTCCGAGTCGATTTCGTGATGGCGCTGATGCTTCTGATCGCCTGCTGCTGATGCGTGCGATTGTTGCGCTCCTCGCATTGCTGCGCGGCAGCGCGTTGCAACTTGGACGCAAGGTCGATGCAACGGAGCAACTTGGACGACGACACGAGCCGCAGCCTCTGCGACGGAACGCACCGGAGCACCATGCAATGGAGCCACGACGACACGAGCCGCAGCCTCTGCGACTGGACGCAACGCAGCTCCGACGCCACGGCGCCGAGCGGCGCCCGGAGCTCCGACGTCGCGACGCCGCGGCGCGGTCCTTCGCCGAGTGGGCGACGCCGCGCGCGGCGCTGCTCGCGATCGCCGCGGGCTACGGCACGAACTTCGCCGCGGGCGCGTTCCTCAACGCGGCGGCGCCCGCGGCGGCGGCGACGTCCGCGCGGTTCCTCGTCGCGGCCGCGGCGCTCGCGCCGCACCTCGCGCGCCTGCCGCGCGAGCTCGCGGGCCCCGTGCTGCTCTGCGGCGCCTGCGACGCCCTCGGCTACGTCGCGCAGAGCGTCGCGCTCGTCGACACGCCGCCCGCGACGGTGAGCCTCCTCGGCGCGCTCACAGTCGTCGTCGCGCCGGCGCTCGCGTTCGCGGTCGACGGCGAGCGGCCGGGCGCCGGGGCCGCCGCCGCCGCCGCGCTCACGCTCGGCGGGGTCTTTCTGCTGGAACGCGTCGACGGGGGGTTCGCGCTCCGCGTTGGCGACGGCTTCGCGGCGCTCCAGGCCGTCGGCTTCGGCGCGAGCTTTTACGTGGCCCGGCGGACGATGGCCGACAACGCGGACGCGGCGCTGGCCGTGACGGCCGGGCAGTGCTCCGTGACGGCGCTGCTCTCGGCGCTCTGGGCGCTCGGCGACGGCGCCGCGCTCGGGCCCTTCGCGGCGGCGCCGACGGCCGGATGGCTCCTCGACGGCGCGTCGGACTTTTCGCTGCCGGGGCTCCTCCTGCGGGGCGGCCCCGTCGCGGGCGCCGTCCTCTGGACGGGCCTCGTGACGACGGCCCTCGTCCGCTTCGGCGAGAACTCCGCCCTCGCGAAGGTGCCCGTGGGCGAAGCGACCGTGCTCGTGGGAAGCGAGCCGCTCTGGGCCGCGCTCTGGGCCGCGGCCCTCTTCGGGACCACCCCGGACGCCCACCAGTGCGCCGGCGGCGTCCTCATCCTCGCCGCCTGCGTCGTCTCCGCGCGGCCGCCGCGCGAGGACGGGGCGTAGAGACGCGTGTCAAATCCGCGAGGGCGTCGGGGCAGGGAGCTGTGCACATTGATCGTCGACCAAGGCGTCACCAGCCCTAGTAGGCGTCCTAGTCCATCGGGGGCGACGCTGGGGGCGGCTGTGGCGAGACTCGCCGACTCGACGGCGGGTCTTGGTATCCGCGCAAGCAGTCGATCGATCACGCCCCCCTTCGACACCTCGTGCGTTATCCTCGCGCTGACGCCGCCACACCCTCCCGCACCTCCCGCATAATCAGCACGCAAAAGAACGACGCCCGCGATCGGGCACCCAACAGAAAATGCCCGGCCAGCCTGACGACGAGATCAAGAAAGGCTCCGCGGCCATGGCGGGCCTCATGGGGGGCCTCCTGGGCGGCGGCGCGGGCGGCGGCGACCTGTCGTCGGACGACGACTCCATGCCCGGCATCGAGGCGCCGGACGCGCGCCCGGCCGCCGCCGCCGGCGACTCCGACGACGACTCCATGCCCGGCATCGAGGCGCCGTCAGCGCCCCCGGCCGCCGCCGCCGGCGACTCCGACGACGACTCGATGCCCGGCATCGAGGCGCCGTCAGCGCCCCCCGCCGCCGCCGCCGGCGACTCCGACGACGACTCCATGCCCGGCATCGAGGCGCCGGACGCGCCCCCGGCCGCCGCCGGCGGCGACTCCGACGAGGAGTCGATGCCCGGCCTCGAGCCCGGCGCCGCCGCGCCCCCGGCCGCCGCGGGGGACGGCCTCGACGGCATGAGCGTCAAGCAGCTCAAGGCGGAGATGGCGCGGGTCGGCGCGTCGTCGCACGGCCTCTTCGAGAAGGCCGAGTTCGTCGCCGCGATCCGCGCGGCGCGCGCGGCGTGCCCGCGCCAGTCCGCGGCGCCGCCGGCGCCCGCGGGCGCCTACGTCGCGAGCGACGGCTCGGGCTCGGACTCCGAGTCCATGCCCGGCCTCGAGTCCGGCGACGACGCGCCGGCCGCCGCGGGCTCCGACGACGACATGCCGGGCCTCGCGCCCGAGGACAACGCCGCGGCCGCGTCCGCCGCGGACCGGGCCGCGGCCGCGCCCCTCGTCGGCCACCGCGTCGAGGTCGTCGGCACGTCGCGCGCGGACCTCAACGGCAAGCGCGGCGTCGCGGCGGCCTTCGACGCGGCCAAGGGCCGCTACCGCGTCGTCGTCCGCGGCAAGCACCTCCACCTCAAGCCCGAGAACCTCGCCGCCGCCGACGAGAGCGGCTTCTACGACGACGACATCTCGTCGTCGTCCGACGACGACGACATGCCGGGCCTCGAGGCCGACGCGCCGCCGCCGCGGCCGCCGGCGGCGGCCGCGGGCCTCGCCTCCTCCGACTCCGACTCCGAGGACATGCCCGCCATGGAGGAGGAGGACATGGAGGCCGCCTACGAGACCGCGGCGCGCGAGGCCGGCGAGCGCGGCCCGAAGAAGGCGACGTCGTTCCTCGACGACATCTCGAGCGACGACGGCGACGACGACGACGACGACCGCGAGCAGACGGACCGCTACAAGGCCGCGCTCAAGAAGCGCGAGAAGGCGGCGAAGCTCAAGGCCGAGAAGGAGGCGCGCGAGCGCGAGCGGCGCGCGCGCGAGGCCGACGCGACGGCCGCGCGGCGCGCCGTCGACGCCGCGCGCGCGGCCGAGTCGGAGCGGAAGATGGCGAAGAAGCGCGAGCAGCGCGCGGCCGCGGCGCGGGCCAAGGCCGCGCAGAAGAGGCTGGAGAAGGAGGCGGCGGCCGAGGCCGCGGAGGCCAGGTCCGCGGCGCTCCGCGCGGCCGCGGAGAACGCCAAGGTCGCGACGTGCCGCAACTGCTCCGGCGACATCTTCGAGGCGGACGCGCGCGTCACGGCGCGCTGCGACGCCGGCTCGGCCGCGACCTACAAGATGGCCTGCTGGCAGAACGCCGTGCGGCCGACGCTCGCCGCCGGCGACGGCTACCGCTGCGAGGGCCTCGAGGGCTTCGACGGCGTCATGCTCAAGACGCTCGAGAAGTGGACGCGCGGCGACGCGTGGCACGGCGAGGGCAAGCTCGACAAGCGCGTCGAGAAGTGCAAGCGGCCGCCGTCCGTCGCCAAGCCCAAGCCCTCGAAGAAGGCGTCCAAGAAGGGCGGCCCCAGGGCGCCCGCGAAGGCGCCCGCGGCCAAGCCGCGGACCGAGTCCATCGCTGACGACGCGACGTCGTCCGTCTGGGTCGGCCCCCTGCCGGAGGCCGTCGACGACTTCGACGCCGTCGTCAAGGACGCGCTCAAGGCGACGACGCTCTCGCACCGCGTCGTCGAGTCGACGACGCTGTCCGCGCCGCCCGTCGACGCGCCGGGCTTCGCGCGGGACAAGGGCCTCGCGGTCTTCACGCCCGGGCGCGGCTTCCGCGCGCCGACCTTCGCGCGCGTCAAGTGCGCCACCGTGACGGCCGCGACCATCGCCGCGCGGGCCCTCGGCGGCGCCCTCAAGGGCGCGACGGCGCGGCTCCTGGCGGCCGAGGAGGAGGCCGCGCTCGAGGCCGCCGAGGCCGCGGCGGCGGCCGCCGCCGCGCTCGCGGCGCTGGGGCTGCTCGAGGACGTCGCGGCGGCGCCCGAGGCGACGTCGCCCGAGGCCGAGGGCCGCAAGGTGCTCGTGCTGGGCCTCGCGTCGACGGCCGCCGAGGACGACCTCTTCGACTACTTCGCCACCTTCGGGACCGTCGAGGCCGTCGACGTCGCCGCGGACCTGAACACGGGCGCGACGGTGGGCTACGTGACCATGGCCACGTGGCAGGAGGCGGCGGCCATCCTCGACCGCGGCGCCGTCGTCGGCGGCGTGAGCCTCGAGGTCGTCCTCGCGCGGCCCCGCGAGCTCGAGCCGACGCCGCGCGGCGCGCCGCCGCCGGACGCGGCGCTCCTCGAGGGCCGCAAGCTCTTCGTCGGCGGCCTGAGCCCGGCGACGGACGAGGACGCGCTCTGCGCCTACTTTGGCAGCCTCGGGTCCCTGGCCGAGGCGTCCGTCGCGCGCCGCGGCGGCGCGTCGCGGGGCTTCGGCTTCGTGACGTTCGCTACACGCGGCGACGCGGACGCGGCGCTCGCCGCGGGCCACATCGTCGACAGCGCGCGCGTCGAGGTGAAGCGCGCCGTCGCGCGCACGGGCCCGGAGCCCGAGCCCGAGCCCGAGCCCGAGCCCGAGCCCGCGGGCAAGACGAACCGCAGGGCGCGGCGCGAGGCGCGGACGGCCGCGCGCCGCGCCGCGGGCCTCCCCGAGAAGCACGAGGAGGACGCCATCGACGACCTCCTCGCCGAGGCTGCGGGCGCCGCGCTCACGACGAACTACGCGGCCGAGCCCCTCTTCCGGCTCCTCGCGTCCGCCGGCTGCCGCGTCGCCGCGCGGCCCGCGGGCCGCGAGCTCTCCGTCGACGGCGCGGACAAGCTCCGCGCCGAGGGCGTCGACGAGTCGTGCCTCGGGCTCCTCGAGCTCGGCGACCTCGTCGACATCGGCCTCGGCGAGCGCGACGTCGCGGCCGTCCGCGCGGCCCAGGCCGCGCTCGCCGGCGCCGCGCCCGCGCCGCCGCCCGCGCCGCCGCCGCGGTCCACGCTCCCGCCCTGGTGCTGCGCGACGTGCACGCTCGAGAACGACCCGGACTTCCTCATGTGCTCCGCCTGCGGCTCGCCGCCGCCGCCGGAGCGCCTCCGCCTCATGTGAGACCGGGGTAAGTAAGAAGAGGGGTCCGGGTGCAAGATTTGAGCGATTTTTGCTTGTTGCTGTCGAGGAGCCGCTCCGAGCTACAGCTGTACGCACGCCAGGTCGCAAAGGACGCGCGGCGCTCGAGTCATGTCGTGGCGGGAGAAGAAGTTGGAGTATGAGAAACGCATGGCCCGAGCGAGGGGCAAAAAACTCGACACTCTCAAGACCTGCACGATCTGCGGCGCGGACAAGGCCAAGGCGTGCTTAGGTTGCGGCACGACGGCCTACTGCTCGACGGACTGCCAACGCATCGACTGGCGCGACCGGGGCCACCGGAAGGTCTGCAAGAAGATCCAGGCCGCGGAGGCGGCGCGGGCGGAAGCGCCGACGCCCCCGCCATCGCCGCCGCGGGACGTGTTCTACGGACCCGCGCCGCGGTCGCACGCCGACGAGGTCCGCGCGCGCATCGCGGCGGAACACGAGGCCGCTCGTGCCCTGCGCGAGGCGAACCCGGAACCAGTGCCAGCGTCGGCGCGGTACGGGTCGCGGTGCCCGATCTGTCTCGAGGACTGGGACGTGAATGCGCCAAGCGCGCTGCGCGTCTGTTGCTGCCGAAAGGTCTGCCGATCGTGCGAGGACAAGATCGGAATCGCGTGTCCCCTCTGTCGCTTACCGTGCACAAAAAACGATGCGGAAAACCTCGCGCGTCTTCGCCGCCACGTGGAGAACGAGGTGCCGGAAGCAATTACAAGTTTGGGAGACGCGTACCACCTCGGTCGGTACAATCTCGTGAAATCCGATAAGAAAGCCGCGAAGATTTACCGGCGCGCCGTGGAGCTCGGCGACGTGGACGCGATGGTATATCTTGGGGGAATGTACCGCTATGGGTTGGGCGTCAAGCTGGACAAGAAGAAGGCGGCGCGGCTGTTTCGCATGGGCGCAGATCGGGGCAACGCGACCGCGCAAAACAATGTAGCGTTTTTACTTGATTCTGAGGAGAAACATGAAGAAGGGTTCCCGTACTACGCGCTCGCGGCGGATCAAGGCTTTACCCCTGGAGAGTTTAACCTTGGCTGTTGCTACGGGAACGGACGAGGCACGGAAGTCGACGTCGACAAAGCCAGATACTGGTTCGAGCGCGCCGCTGCCAAGGGCCACGAAGGAGCTATAGAGAACCTCGCGTACCTCGACGCGCGAGTATAGCCTAACAATCTTTACGCCGCGTCGTCGCCGAGCCCGAGATGCTGCGCTTGCGCGCGCGCGAGTCGTGCTCGGCCTTGGCGTCGTCGTCGCGGCGTTCCTCTCTGCGCCGATCTTCGCGGTCTGGAATCTGGCGTTCCTGAACGCGAACCCTGCCTGGCGCAAGGACGACGCCGCCGCCGAGGGGGGCATGGAGAACGACATGAGCGCGATGCTCTAGGGGTAGGGCTTAGCCCTGGCGTCAGATTTTGAGCGATTTTGCTTAGCCGCGGCGCAGGGAAGAACCGAAGGGGGAGAGTTCCCCGCCAACCCAAGGCTGCGCGTAGGCGGGCTAGGTCGCCTAATGCGCTAGAGAGAGAGAGAACAGCGAAGGGGGGCGATTTTGCTTAGCCGCGGCGCAGGGAAGGACCGAAGGGGGAGAGAACAGCGAAGGGGGGCGTAGGGAAGCGTGGAGGACACGACTAGGGGCGGGGCGATTTTGCCTTTGCGACCCAGGGACGATAGACGAGTGAGGTGGTTGAATAGGGAGCGTCGGCGACGAGCGTGGGAAGAGATCATGGACCCGGAACTGATCAAGAAGAAGCGAGAGTACGAGGCTCGAAAAACTCGTACAAAGCTGGCGCTCAACATATGCACGATCTGCGGGAAGAAGGATGCCCGGCCCTGTCTAGGTTGCGGCACGACGGCCTACTGTTCGACGGACTGTCAACGCATCGACTGGCGCGACCGGGGCCACCGGAAGGTCTGCAAGAAGATCCAGGCCGCGGAGGCGGCGCGGGCCGAAGCGCCGACGCCCCCGCCGTCGCCGCCGCGGGACGTGTTCTACGGGCCCGCGCCGCGGTCGCACGCAGACGAGGTCCGCGCGCGCATCGCGGCGGAACACGAGGCGGCGCGGGCGCGGCGCGAGGCAAACCCGGAGCGGGAGCCGACGTCGGCGCGGTTTGGGTCGCGATGCCCGATCTGCCTCGAGGAGTGGGACGTGAATACTCTGGGCGTGTTTCGCGTCTGTTGCTGCCGTAAGGTCTGCCGATCGTGCGAGGACAAGATCGGCTCCGACGCGTGTCCCCTCTGTCGTGTACCGTGCGCAGAGGACAATGCGGGACACCTCGCACGTCTGCGCCGCCACGTGGAGAACGAGGTGCCGGAAGCGATTACGTTTTTGGGAAATGCGTACCGCTATGGTGCCTTCGGCCTCGTGAAATCCGATAAGAAAGCCGCGAAAATTTTGAAGCGCGCCGTGGAGCTCGGGGACGTGGTGGCGATGGTATTTCTTGGGGAACTGTACGAGGATGGAAGTGGCGTCAAGCTGGACAAGAAGAAGGCGGAGCGGCTGTATCGCATGGCCGCAGATCGGGGCGACGCGGTCGCGCAACACAGAATAGCGTGGTTACTTCATTCTGAGAAGAAATTTGAAGAGGCGGTCCGGTACTTTGTGCTCGCGGCGAATCAAGGCTATACCTCTGGAGAGTTCAACCTTGGCTGTTGTTACATGAACGGAGAAGGCACGGAAGTCGACCTCGGCAAAGCCAGATACTGGTTCGAGCGCGCCGCTGCCAAGGGCTACCAGCATGCTATGAATGAGCTCGCGGACCTCGACGCGCGAGTATAGCCTAACAATCTTTACGCCGCGTCGTCGCCCGAGCCCGGGATGCTGTGCTTGCGCGCGGGCGAGTCGTGCTTGGCCTTGGCATCGTCGTCGCCGCGTTCCTCTCCGCGCCGACCTTCGCGGTCTGGTGCTTCGCGTTCCTGAACCCCAAGCCCGCCGGGCGCAAGGCGACGACGCCGCCGAGGGGGGCATGGAGAACGGCATGAGCGCGATGCGCTAGGGGTGGGCTTAGCGGAGTAAGATTTTGAGCGATTTTACCATTGCGACACTTGCCGACAGCAAGCTTTGGGTTGAGGAGAGGCCCCGCACGATCATGAAGGCCGAGTACGTCGAGAAGCAGCGCGAATACGAAGAGAAGAAGGCGCGGGCGAAAGCGCTACAGCTGCGTTTGACGTGCACGATTTGTGGGGCGAAACCGAGAACTTTGCTGAACTGTCCGTGCGGAACTACGCAGTATTGTTCGACTGAATGCCAACGCATCGACTGGCGCGACCGGGGTCACCGAAAGGCGTGCAAGAAGATCCGAAGCGAGCGCGCGGCGGAGGCGGCACGGGCGGAAGCGCCGACGCCCCCGCCGTCGCCGCCGCGGGACGTGTTCTACGGCCCCGCGCCGCGGTCGCACGCCGACGAGGTGCGCGCGCGCATCGCCGCGGAGCACGAGGCGGCTCGCGTGCGGCGCGAGGCGAACCCGGAGCGGGAGCCGCTGTCGGCGCGGCTCGGGTCGCGGTGCCCGATCTGCCTCGAGGAGTGGGACGTGAATGCTCCGGGCGTGTTTCGCGTCTGTTGCTCCCGGAAGGTCTGCCAATCGTGCGAGGACAAGATCGGCACCGGCGCGTGTCCCCTGTGTCGCCTATCGTACACAGAGACCGATGCGGAAGACCTCGCGCGTCTTCGCCGCCATGTGGAGAACGAGGTGCCGGAAGCGATTTCGTTTTTGGGAATTGCGTACCGCAAGGGTTGGTACGGCCTCGTGAAATCCGATAAGAAAGCCACGAAAATTTGGAAGCGCGCCGTGGAGCTCGGAGATGTAGACGCGATGGAATCTCTCGCGGAAATGTACGAGAAAGGACTCGGCGTCAAGCTGGACATGAAGAAGGCGGAGCGGCTGTATCGCACGGCCGCAGATCGGGGCTCCGCGTTCGCGCAATCCAATTTAGGGGCTGTCCTTCATTCTGAGAAGAAATTTGATGAAGCGTTCCCGTACTTCGCGCTCGCGGCGGATCAAGGCTATACCGGTGCGGAGAGCAACCTTGGCGTTTGTTACAGGGACGGAGACGGCACGGAAGTCGACGTCGACAAAGCCAGATACTGGTTCGAGCACGCAGCTGCCAAGGGCTACGAAAGAGCTATAGAGAGCCTCGCGCGCCTCGACGCGCAAGTATAGCCTAAACCATCTTTACGCCGCGTCGTCGCCCGAGCCCGTGATGCTGTGCTTGCGCGCGGGCGAGTCGTGCTTGGCCTTAGCCTCGTCGTCGCCGCGTTCCTCTCCGCGCCGACCTTCTGGCGTTCTTGAACGCGACGCCCGCCTGGCGCAAGGACGACGCCGCCGCCGCAGAGGGGATGGGGAATGACATGGGCGTGGTGCTATAGGGGTGGATTTACCAAAAAGTTCGTTCCGAAGTGCAAGTTGTCGTTCAAGAAGCAGTTGGGGGAGAGCTCCTCGAGGGGCATGTCTGCGCTCCGCAACGTGCTTCCGGGTGTCCGTGGCCCATAGTCGAGCTTGGAGGCGCACGCCATGTCAAGCGAACAAGAACGCCTCGAAGCGCTGCTCGCCGAGAGCAGCAGCGGCCTGCTGGGGAGCCCAGTGAAGACCAAGCGGCGGTCGGCGCCGCGCGCGGCGCCGGACGCGCTGCCGACACCGCCGCGCGCCGCGTCGCCGCCGCCTTACGCGCGACGTCCCGCACAACCGCCAACCGCGCACCAACGCGCCGCCCCGCCGGACGCGCGGCCGCCGCCGCCGCCGCCGCCGCCGCCGCGCGCGCCGATCGTCGCGGGCGCGGACGCGCCGCGGCCCGCGGCGCTGCGGGTCCACTGCGCGACGTTCAACGTCGGCAACATGAAGCTCGTCGAGGGCGAGCTCGGCCGCTGGCTGCCGGGCGGCGAGGGCGACGCGGACGTCGTCGTCGTCGGGCTCCAGGAGTCGCGCTACCTCTCGGAGACGCAGCGGCGGTCGCTCAAGGTCGTCGTCGGCGCGACGGCCATCGGCGCCGTCGGCGGCGCGGGCGTCGGCGCGGCGGCGGGCGCCGTGCTCGGCGCGGGCGCCGCGGGCGTCATGGCCGTCCGCGCGAACGTCGCGGGCACCACGAAGATGCGCGAGTCGCACCTCTGGAAGACGGTCAAGGCGTACCTCGACGCGCGCGGCTTCGGCGCCGCGCTGAGGCTCGAGTGGGGCCAGATGCGGCTCCTGGTCTTCGGATCCCGCGCGACGGTCGCGGACGTCACCGTCGAGCGCGAGGTCGTGAGCCGCGTCGGCGGCTACGTGAACGTCAGGGCAGGAAAAGAGTGCGAAATTCCCAACTTCAAAGGCTCCTATCTCGCCCGGTTTCCACTCGTTTTGGCTGAATTTTGGACGAGCGAACATCTCTCGGAACGGTCTCGAGGCATGGATGCTTTTTTTGGAACGCGCGCGCGCGAAACACTCACGTTTACGTGTAAGCGACGTTGAATCACTCTTTTCCTGCCCAGGTGAACGTCGACGTGTCCGGCGGCTGGCTCGGCAATAAAGGCGGCCTGGCCGCGCGGCTGCTCGTCGAGCCGCGCGCGCCGGCGACGCCCCGGCGCAACGGCTCCTTCTCGTCCCTCGGATGCTCGGGGCTCCGGGAGGGGCGCACGGACGCGCTCGACGCGCACCTCGGCGCCGTCTTCGACCGCGCGCGCGACCACGCGGCGGCCGGCGGCGCGGCGCCGACGGTCGCGCTGGGCCTCCTCAGCGTCCACCTGCCGGCGCACGAGGGCAGGGCCGAGGACCGCGCCGACGCGTTCCGCCGCATCATGGACGACTGCGGCGAGGCCCTCGCCGGCGCGGACGCGCAGCTGCTGCTCGGGGATTTCAACGCGCGGCTCGGCGGCGGGCGGTCGCGCGAGGTCGTGCTCGACGCCGTGAATCGCGCCGTCGCGGGCGACGGCGCCGCGTTGGCGCTCCTCTACCGGCGCGACGACGAGCTCGTGGCGGCGCTCGCGCGCGCGGCCTACGCGCGCGACGACGCGCTCCGCGGCCTCGCGACGCCCGACTGCGACTTCGCGCCGACGTTCAAGGTCGCGCGGGGCCTGCGGGGCTGCGCCTACTCGCCGAAGCGGCTGCCCTCCTGGACGGACCGCGTGCTCTACCGCGCCTCCCAGCGCGCGCCGGGCGTGCGCTGCGACCTCGACGTGGAGCGCTACGCCGCGTGCCCGGACGTGTCGTCGAGCGACCACAAGCCCGTCGTCCTCGTCGCCACCGTGCGCCTCGCCGCGGGGTCCTAAGGCGCGCGATGGATTATCGGCGGGGGGCGGCGGCGCCTACATGTCGCCGCCGATGTAGGAGATGTCGTCCCAGGGGTGGCGGTAGAGGGGCTGCTTGAGGCGCTTCTGGTCGAGGTGGTGGCCGATGAAGCCGAGGGACCGGCCGAGGACGAAGAGGCCGTTGAGGCAGCCGTTGGCGATGAGCTCGTCGGCCTCCTCGACGGTCATGGCGCCGCAGTGGCGCAGGAGGTCGACGAAGCAGACCGCGATGCAGCCGTCGACGTTGAGGATGAGCGTCGACCGCTTCGCCGTCGTCACGGCCTCGACCTCGAGCGCGAAGTCGAGCGTCGGCGTCTTCGGGAAGTGGGCCTGGGCGTACTTCTTGATGATCTCCACGCGCATGTCCGGGTTCTCGACGCTCTTGATGCGGTGGCCGATGCCCATGATGAGCTTGCCCTCGCGCTTGCAGTCGTCGACGAACTGCTTGCCCGACATGCCCCGGTCGCACGCGTCCGTCATCATCGTCGCCGCGCCGTCCAGCGCGCCCCCGAAGCGCGGGCCGATGGTCAGCAGGCCCGACACGAGGCTCGACACGAGGTCCTTGCCCGCGCGCGTCGACACGATCGTGTTGTGCCTGGGCGGGAAGAGTGCGACATTCCCAACTTCAAAGGCTCCTCTCTCGGTCATGTTCCACTCGTTTCGGCGCATTCTTGGACGAGCGATGATCTCTCGGAGCGCCCTCGAAGCGTGGACCCTTTCTCTGGAACGATCGCGCGCGGAACCCTCACGTTGAAGCGACGTTGAATCACTCTGTTCCCGCGCCGCGCCGCGCGCGCCGGACACCGCGGGCCCGTGGTCCGCGGTGACCATGAGGATCATCTCGATGAACTTGGTCGCGTAGGGCGGCAGCCGCTTCTTGAACCAGAGCAGGGACAGGACGCCGCCGACGCCCAGGTCCTCCTTGAAGACGTCGCTGATGCGCATGCCGCCGTAGGTCAGCTCCTCGCCGCGGTCGTCGCTGATCGTCGAGATGAAGTTCGCGGGCTTCCGGACCATGCCCAGGCGCTTCGCCCAGGTGTAGTCCATGGGCACCTTTGGCACCTCGGGCTCGGGCCTGGGCACGATGGTGCCCCGGTCCACGAGGAGCGCGTAGACCTCGCTCAGCCGCGCGCCGAACTCCGCGAACGACCGCGGCACGACGGCGCCCGCCTTCGCGAGCGCCGCGTTCTTGTCGACGGCGGCCTCGCCTAAACCCCGCGCGCAGGCGCCCGCGTGGCCGAACTGGACCTCGAAGCTGAAGGCCGACGCGCAGGTGCCGATGCACCAGGCCACCAAGGGCTTGTCGATGCGGCCGCTCTCGAGCGCCGCGCAGACGTCGTACTCGTCGACGCCGCCGACCTCGCCCAGGAGCACTAAAATCTGGCAGTCCGGGTTGTCGTTGTAGCGCAGCAGGTGGTCGATGAAGCGGCTCCCCGGGTAGCGGTCGCCGCCGATGGCGACGCCCTCGCAGACGCCGTCGGACGACCGCGCGATGATGTTGTTGAGCTCGTTCGACATGCCGCCGCTCTTCGACACGTAGCAGACGGAGCCGGGCCGGTAGAGCTTGGACATGACGATGTTGTCGAGCATGCCGCCCGTGTTGCCGATGCGGAAGCAGCCCGGCTTGATGCCGCCGACGGTCGCGGGGCCGACGAGGCCGACGCCGGCCTCCTCGGCCGCGGCCGCGATGTCGCGCGTCTGCGCCTCGGGCACGCCCTCGGCGATGATGGCCACGGTGCGGATCTGGGCGCTCAGCTTGAAGGTCTCCATGCACGTGTCGTAGACGGACCGGTACGACGCGAAGTTGACGAGGCAGCTCGCGTCGCCGTGCTTCGACGCGGCCTCCGCGATGGACGTGTAGACGGGCACCAAGGTCTCCTCCGTGCCCCAGTAGAACTTGACGTAGTGGTTCCCCTGGAACGGGTAGACCATGGCGGCGACGCTCGGCTTCTTGCGCTTGCACATGAAGTCGAAGTCGAGCATGCCCTGGACCGCGCGCTGCCTGCGTGGAAATCAAATCTTCAACCCGACTTCAACGTGCGCTTATTCGAATGGTTCGACGCAAGCTTTTCGGCCGTGCTTCGAGAACTCGATGGGAGCGATCGATTCCGAAGTCGATTTGACCGAGCTAGAGAGGTTTGAAGTTTGGCTGGAATAACCCGACCGGTGGTTGATTTCGGCACGGCGCGCTGCTGGAGGCCGTAGACGAGGCAGCGCGTCTCCGCCGTGAACTGGACGCTGGCCATGGAGCTCAACGTCGCGTCGAACTGGGTGAGGCTCCCGGACGAGAAGGACCGCTTGAGGATCGTCGCGTCGGCCGGCGCCGCGTCCGCGACGGTCGCGACCTTGCTCTCCGCGTCCGGATCGAAGTCCGGCAGCGAGTCCTCGGCTTTGAGCCCGAGGGCGATGGCGCAGGGCGCGACGGCGTCCTGCTCGGGGCCGAAGACGCGCACGTGGAGGCCCGTCTCGTCGCGGAGCCGGAGCATCATGCGTAGACCTTCCTGGTAGTTGGGCCCCGCGCGGCGGACGTAGATCTTGACGCCCCCGGCCTTGAGCTCGTCCTTGAAGGCCCGCAACGCCTTGATGAGCCCGCGGAACGTCGCCGCGACGTCCGTGAAGTTCGCGATGCCGCCGCCGACGATCAGCACCTTGCCGTCGTCGCGGCGCGTCCGCGTCATCAGCCCCAGGATCGTCCGCGCGTAGTTGTAGGTCTGCTCGTCGTTGGGCGCCCCCGAGTACTCGCCGTAGTTGGCGAGCTCGTGGGCGAAGCCGAGGTCGCAGATCGTGTCCGCGTAGACGACGGACGCGCCGCCGCCGGCGACCATGGTCCAGACGCGGCCCGCGACGTTGAGGATCGTCAGCTTCAGCGACGCGCCCGTCTTCGCGTCCATGGACCGGATGTAGGCCTCCTCGGGGAACTCGGCGCGGCCGAAGGGCGCGGGGAAGTCGACGCCGGGGCCCCACTTGTTCTGCACGAGGAACGCGGCCGTCTCGTCGAGCTTGGCCGCGAGGTCCAGCGGCGTGATCTTGCCGCCCTCCTCGAAGACGATGGGGTTGATCTCCATGTAGACGAAGTGGAGCTGGCGGTACACGCCGAGCAGCGTCGCGAGGAACCGCGCGAGCTTGGGCTTCCGCGCCTCCGGGACGCCGTCGAGGAGCGCCGCCGCGAGCGCGTCCGGCGCCGCGCTCTCGCCCAGGGGCACCTGGAGCCGCTTCGCCTTGGCGTCGACGTCCCCCACGTCGACGCCGCCGTCCTTGCAGAAGAGGAGCTCCTCGCCCTCGCGGTTCGAGACGACGCAGACGTAGTACTCGTCGGCCTGCGCGTGCGGCACGAACGGCTCGACGAGGAACGTGTGGAGCACGCCCTCGACGCCCTCGACGTCGATGGTCGCGTTCATGCGCGCGTCGACCCAGGCCCGGCACTCGTCGAAGCTCTTGTCGATCGCGAGCAGGCCCGCCTTGCCGCGCCGCTTGATGAGCTGGTCGGGCTTCGCCACCAGCCGCGCGTCCCTGGCCCAGGGGTGCGCCGCGAGCAGCGCGGCCCAGGACGACGGGCTCGCCGGGTCCGACGCGCCGCTCTTCACGAGCATGCCGCGCCCCTCGAACTCGAACTCGCCGCCGGACGCCTCGCCGAGGTACTTGGCCAGGAGCTGCTTGCCAAAGTACTCGCGCACGGGCTTCGCCGCCATGTTGGTGTCTGTTGCGGCGTGTCGCTCGTCTCGGGTGGCTGCGGGTGGATGTCCGCGGGCGCGGCACGCGCTTCGTGCGATTGCGGGGATGGCTGGAGAGAGGCCACTTCTGCCACTTCAAGATGCACTGCAACGAGCCTCCCCAGGGAAGGCTCGCAGAGGGAGGTCGCGGTGACTGGCTTCGCTGGCTTCGCCGGCTTCTGGCTGGCTTCGAAGCTGCTGCTCACTGGCTTCGAAGCTGGCCTTCAACTGGCGAAGCTGGCGAAGCTGGTGCCCGCGTCCTCCCTCCGACGACTCGTCTTGGGTCCTCCTGCTGACCTGCATCGGTGGGGCGACGCCGCAAAGGACAGTTAAACAAAGCTGGACGTTTTAAGACGCGCGCGCTCTAGCGCCGCCGCTGGCGCTTCGGCTCGGGCGGCGGCGGCTCGTCCTCGTCCTCGTCCTCCTCGTCCTCCTCCTCGCCGCCCTCCTCGTCCTCCTCGTCGTCGCCCTCGCCGTCCGAGTCGTCGGCGAGCGGGGGCCGGTTGTCGTTGAGGTCGACCTTGAGGATGAGTCGCTTCGGCGCGTCGGACCCGAGCCAGAAGCCCGAGGGCGACTTGTGCGTCAGCCCCGTGCCGCGGATGCCCGGCCAGGAGTCGCCCTTCATGAGGAGCACGGCGTTCGTCTCCATGGACCGGACGCGGCCCTCGGGCACGCACTCGAGGTTCGACTCGT